CCCGCACTCTCCCGAGGGAAGTCCCGCACAGCGTCCTGCACTCTCCCGCAGAACGTCCCTCGAAAATTGATGCGTATTTCGTGGCCTGTGCTGTACCTACCAAAACACTTGAGTTCATACTGTCAAAATGGAATGGCTTTGAACAGGTGTTAATTGAGTTAATCCAATCAAATCCAACAGCCAATCAGCAAGAAGAAAGATTAGGCTGCGTCAGGTTCATGCTTGCATGCCCATATTTGGGCCCGCCCCCGAATTCCTTTCTTATTACGTCACGCGCGTACGCCCCACAGTACTTTCCTATGGGAACAGCTAAAAACGCAAATAAAACGATTGTAAAAGCTTGTATCAAAAAAAATAAAAAATATTTACCCACTCTACCTTTATACGAAATTCCAGGTCGTTTGGCCCAAAAATGAAGGAATTGAATCAATTTAAAGAAATGGCAGGAGGAGAAGAAGAAGGAGGAGGAGAATCATCAGTAAAAACAGTATTTCCCTCCATACTTAAGTATGGAGTGAAATAAATATAGGTTCGCCAAATAGACAGGCCATCTTGCGGCAAACTGTACTGCTTCAATGGACCCACTCTTCTGTAGTTCTGACATGATATTTGTCTGTTGGGCTAATTTCTACTCTTTCCAGCCGCTTCTGAAGCCTGGCAGAGGCTAATTAAATACTAGGTCATGTGGCGCAATGGCAGCGTGCGCGACTCGGAATCAAGAGGTCCCGAGTTCGAGTCCTGACATGCCACCGATCTTGTGCCCTTGGGAAAGGCACTTTACACGACTTGCCCCACTAGACGCAAGTGAAAATGAGTATTGTCTGTCCCGCATTCGTTTCTATGTGCGGGACAAAACACCAGCAACAGCTGCCTCTGTTCCGCGTGTACTGCATTGTTGCAATTTCAATTAAAAAAAATTAAAAAAAATTAAATTAAATACTAAGTAGGTCTGGCAACCAGGCTACCATCAAAGTCCTTGATCCCCGGTAGCTGTGTGCCCAGTGGGGTGTGATCTGAGGTCCCGGTTCATTAGTTATTAAGACGAGAGATAAGATAGGAGACATCAATCAAGTCTGACAACAGGCTGGCACTTCACTTGGGAGGTCTGAGGGATATAGTAATCTCCAAGCAGATCTTTTGGTTAATCTCCAAGCAGATGTTTCGATGGCTGCAAAATACAGTATCAAATTGGCCAGGCAGTATCCATTGGCCAGACCCAAAACTTACTCTCCAAGCAGAGGTTGTGGGGGAATGATCGTTACCTTTTTATATATGGCCGGGGTTTTTTTCGCTACCCCGTCGGTGGCCCCGGACCTTCTCTGGCCAATTTGATACTGTCTTTTTGCCACCGAGAGGGATCTGCTTGGAGATTACCAAAACTTGGGTGGCAAATGGATACAGTCTGGGCATTGGATACTGCCTGGCCAATTTGATACCATATTTTGCAGCCACCGAAACATCTTTTTCGAGATTACTTTTGGTGCCTGAAAAGATAGAATCATTGGCCACTGTCTGGCCAGTGGATGCAGCCTGGCCAATTTGATTGTGTCTTTGCAGCTACAACAAGATCTGCTTGGAGATTGTGCTGGATAAAACGATGGTTTGATCTAGATATTTTAAACTTATCACTAGATCACATTATCACAAGATGTACGTGTATATTACAACATTGGCATCGTGATTTGGTCTCGCATTCGGATTGAAGTACTGTATTTATAGATTGACCTACATATCATAGGCAGCCTGCATGTCCTTTTATGTCAACCGAAATTGGCGGTTTCAGTCCCACTGCCATTCGTATGTAGCCTCTACCAGGCACCGCGGATCGCTGGAAAAATAGTAGAAATTATACCAGAGAAGATCCAGGGCCATAGAAGTGGGTCCGTGGGTCGCAAAATGGAGCTTCTATGGCCCTGGATCTTCTCTGGTACACTATCCCTTTATTTCGGCCAATTTCTACTATTTTTCCAGCGATCCGCGGTGCTTGGTAGAGGCTAATTCGTAGGCGGACTCTCAAATCCACTGTGGCTCAAATCTAATGTTTAGTGAACATTGGCCAACAAGACAGATAACATGCCGGGGGAGTTGGTCCGCAGTTTCTACTCTTTCCAGCCGCCTCTGAAGCCTGGAAGAGGCAAGAATTAGACATGTGTCGTGTAGAAAAAAAAAAGATTGCATTCCCACACCGGGAATCGAACCCGGGCCTTGGCGGTGAGAGCGCCAAATCCTAACCACTAGACCATATGGGAGGTGCTTGTACATGCGTCACACAGAAATTCTCTTACCACTCGATATGTCGATCAAGTCAGACGCCCCTACAATCATGCAGCGTAGATGAGACGCTGCTGAAAGGTGCAGTTTGGTATCCAGTCGCAAGGTGGCGCAAACACCAATAATATTTGTTAACTGTCACTTAATCATAGCTGATTTAGCTGTTACTTTTTTACCGCTAAAATTTCAGTACCGTAATACATTGTATTTGAACACTTTTGATCATCTGCCTTGTCCACACTGCTAAAATTAAGTGCCATGAGCTAGTCCATTTTCCTCCCACCGCTATAATTTCCAACCGCAATATTAAATGGAATTACAGTACCTCACCCCCCCCCCCCGTCTGAATAGGGTTATCTATTTATTATTCTTACTAACATATGGGTAGTCTCTTCAGCCGTTAAGACTGATTTCCGAGGGAGCCCATCGCCAGTCGAGCATTATACTAAGAATCTCGGGTGATGTCATCGAAGTAGGATGGAAAAATCTCTTTCAAGTCTTCGGGATGTTGCAGCGAGAATGACTTGATCTTCACCTCGTTGTCCGGCCGGCCGAGGCGAACCACTTTGGTCCCCGTCCAAAACGGCGCCTCCTGAAGCTCCCATCCGAAGAAGGTGACGAGAATGGCGAAGATTCCTTTGAACACGGACAGCGCGACGTTCTTGCCCGCGCACATGTGGTTGGTGACCGCGGGAGCGTCCACGAACCGCCCGTTGAAGATGAGATGGTTTTCCCGGCGTGCTTCTCCCTCAGGGCCGAGGAACCTGCGCCACACGAACTCGCCTGGCTTGTCGAAGACGGCGGGGTCTCTCAGTGCCCAGTAGGTAAGGAGAAACACAAGTTCGCCTTCCTTGATCTGAAATGCATAATGTTTGTTTACCTTTCCATGATCTAACCTTACAAATATCTTCTCTGTTTATTCTCACTCAAACACATTCAAACACAAGTTCGCCTTCCTTGATCTGAAATGCATAATTATGTTTACCGCAGGAGAACATATTGTTTTCGCTCAGTTTCTTCTTCTTCTTCCGTTCCAAACACTGACCTCTGACCTGGCCAATGACCTGATTTGTTGATGTCTGTCACCATAGTAACTGGTGTTGGGTTACATAATGTTGCAATTTTATAGCAGGATAGCAGGAGACTCTTCTCTGACCAGGAAACTGCTGTCACCATGTATATTAATGTGAGTAAGAATGAGTAGTTTGAGTATTAATTAAAGAATGAACAGAGAAGACCGTATGCAAAGGTAAACATTATGCATTTGCTTTGAATGTTACTTTTCTAGTGTTTGTTTACCTTCCCATGATCTAACCTTACAAACTAAGTTCTCTGTTTATTCTCACTCAAAAATATTTAAACACAAGTTCGCCTTCTTGATCTGAAATGCGAAAGGTTTACCTTTCCATGATCTACTGCTCTGTTTATTACCTTCGCCAAGAAGGTTATGTTTTCAGTAGCGTTTGTCTGTCTGCTTGTCTGTTTGTCTGTCTGTGAACAGCATAACTCAAGAAGCTTAATATGCATTGTCATGAAACTTGGTAGGTCTTCATAAGAGCTAGAAATGATTAGATTTTGGGCTCCCTAGCGGCTTTCGTAGGTACTGCAGCAGAACTTCCGGTTTTGATATCTCACGATCTGGACATACCAGGGTCACGAATTTTTGGTGGTAGATAGCTCTTGGGGTAGGGAAGAAGTGACATGAGTTTGGATTATCGGCTTGTTGTGGAAGAGGAGCATTTGTTGAAGAAGGATAACTCAAGAACCAGTTGGCGGATTGTCATGATTTTTGATATGTAGGTAGCTGAAGTGATGCTTGACATAATCAATGGCAATTATGCAAATCAGGAGCTGATTTGCATAATTAATGAGGAAATTCTTTAAATCTGCTTTGTTTGATAATAGGACTATGAAACACTTGTGACATGTAATTGAGAACGAAAAAAAATCCGAGGATATATATTATGTAAATGAAGACCTAATTTGCATAATTAGGGAAATTTTCATAATTTCATAGTTGTAACTGCTGGGAATTTCATACTTGCCACGTTTGGAAGTTAAGTGAAGGCGAACATCAATAAATATAATTTATTCAAATCATTACCTTATTTGCATGATTTATGAGCAAGTGCTATAATAGCCTTTATGTTAAGATAAGGCTGTCATTGGGTGGAGAATATGATCAACTGATACAATCCATGCAAATGAGGATCTTATTTGCAAAATCAATTATCAAAGTTGTATAATTCGTCACCCGCAAGGGTTAACATAATTTGGCGAAGGTATGAGATCGTGGAACTCTTGTTCTTACTCAAACACATTCATATAGCATATGGTGACCAGCCTCTCCAATTATGTTCTGCTACAAAATGTAACCCAACACTACAGGGTGTCTGCTACAGTACCAGTTACCATGGGGACAGACGTCTGATACAGGTCATTGACCTTATTTGTTTGGAGAAGAAAAAGGAGAAGAGAAAGAAAAGGAACAAAGCAAAAATATGATATCTTTAATTCTTTGTCTTTTTTTTCTATTCCAACATTTATCATAATACATGGCGACGGCACGCTCAAGTTTTTCCAACTTTCGCCACCAACGCAGACAAACGCACTGTCAACAGACATAGCCTTTCCCAAGGGCTCATTTGGTTGGTACTCACCTCCGCTTCCTTGTTGTCTCCGTTCCCCGCCGTGTACTGGATAGTTGACGGCCGTGTTGCCAGGACGTTGCTTGCAGTCCCCGGGGACGGACTGAACCGCAGCGCTTCCAAGACGAAGCTCTCAACCTTTTTTTTTAATTTATTCATTTGCACAAATAAAAACACTAATCAACGTACAAATGCAAAACAAAGAAATAAAAAAAAACATTGCAGGGGGAGGTAAGGCTTGTACTATTTCCTCCTTCTTGAAACCTACCAAATATTAACCATGAAACTAACAAACAATAACTAATAATAAGTGAATTATAACAAAACAAACATCAAATAGTAATCATGAAGCTAACAAAAAATAATAGCTAATGATACATAAACTAAACAAAACCTAGATATAACTAAACAAATCTCAGATTAAAAATTTTGGATTTCAAAATTGAAAATCTCAGATTTGTTTATAAGCTGACACGATGCTATAGTGACAACAAGATAAAAGGACATGAAAGTAATGTATGCTAGAACACTATGATACAACTGAAAGTATCATGAGAGTTCATTTATGTTGGTAGTTACATGTTTAAAGTTAAGACTTTTGGTCCAACACAAGAAAATCTCTCACCTAGAGCTTTCGACCAGTCACTCTGGTCTTCTCAGTAGACTGCCCTGTGAATCTGTCACGCTACATTGAACCGCGACGGGGGCCGACATCGTCTACCAGATACCTTTCACCCATTGTTGACGTCACACTTCAAAGAAGCCACGTGACAAGCTTCACTGGGTCAGTCTACTGAGGAAGACCAGAGTGACTGGTAGAAAGTTCTAGGTGAGAGAATCTTTTGTGTTGGGCCAAAAGTCTTAACTTCAAAACACGATACAACTGAAACTTGACACAAACCTTCGGCATCTCCTGCAGGGCCTCCCGGGTCAGGCCTCCGTGTTTCCGCATGGCGGCCAGCGCCTCCTCCCGTAGTTCCCCCTTGTCCTGTGCGCTGAGGGTGTCCAGGCAGGCGAAGGCTGAGACGAGATTCGTACCGCTGCCGACAACCCCGTTCAGGCTGATGGAGATGAGAAGTTGCATCGTCGCCTCCTTTTCTCCCAATCCGTGCGATTTCGCCAGATCCATCAGCTGCTGGTACCTTCAAATACAAATTAGATTTAGGGATTACAAATCACCCTACATTGAACCGCGACGGGGGCCGACATCGTCTACCAGATACCTTTGATCCAGTGTTGACGTCACACTTCAAAGAAGCACGTGACAAGCTTCACTGGGTCAGTCTACTGAGGAAGACCAGAGTGACCGGTGGAAAACTTTAGGTGAGAGAATTTCTTTGTGTAGGATCAAATAAAGTCTTAACTTTAAACATGTAACTACCAAAACAGTTGAACTTTCATGATAGTACAAATAAGATTGTTATGTTTACCGAAGGAAAACATGTTGTTTTTACTCAGTTTCTTCTTCTTCCATTCCAAACACTGACCTCTGACCTGACCAATGACCTGATTTGTTGACGTCTGTCACCATGGTGACTGGTGTTGGGTTTCATAATGTTGCAATTCCATGGTCTGCTCTGCTCCTGTCACCATATACTAGTAGTACATATGTATGTGAATGTGTTTGAGTAAGAATTAACAGAGCAGACCATGTCCGAAGGTAAAAGAAAATGTATTAACTAACTTAGAGTCGTAAAAATAATAGAAAAATATAAAAAAATTAATAAAGTACAGAAAACAAACTAAATAAATATGATAAATGATATAAATAATGTTGATTAATGTTGATAAATCTGCGTTTCATAGAATCTGTGCTCTTTAACAACCGAGAAATTGTGCTACTTCATGTACCTTTCTGATGTCTTTATTTTCCCGACTATAGACTCCTTCGCACTTTGTGCTTCGTCCAGACTTCTCCATGATGTTAACACTTGTAAGATCCGTGATTTCGGTTTGCTGGTTGCGCCGCTGATGTAACGCTCTATTTCTTTCGTGTCGAAAGGCGTCGATTCTCCGTAGATGGCAGGGAGAAGGGCATCTGCCATGACAGCCATTAGCTTTGACTCGAAGTCGTCCATCGGTCCCCTTCCCCACTGTGACACGTTGGACAACACGGACCGCGCGGTGGAAGCCGGGATCTCTCCATACGCCTTTGAGATGACTTCCATCAAGAAACCCTTGTGTTTCTCGTGAAACTTGCCGTTGGACAGGGCGCTGGGACACACGCCTTCCGTCAGCTCCTCCGGTACCATCACTGCGGCAAATTTGAACTCCTCCTTCTTGAAACGGTCGTAGTCGTATATTAAAGACTGGACGGCCTTGTTCCCGGTCACCACACGGCAGGGGACCCCGACGTTACACTCCACGAAGTCCTCTTCGCGGTTTGGCGTGAATGTTTTGTTGTATGTAGTCAAGTATTCGATGGTTCCAAGTACGTTGCCCATGGTTACTATCCCTGTATATCAAATGAAACCAATGTATTGATTATCAAGAAGCAGTCTAGATAAGGAATTCAACCCCAGTGATGAACCGGGACGAGGGGAGATACAAGCTCAGCCACGTTTGGGACTGCATTCTCGCCGCAAAAGCGCCACCTATTTTGGCGATAAATAGCGGCGAGTTGCAGAAATCCAGTCAGAAGCTCTGAGGAAGGTGTCTGATAGACATGGAAACGTAAGCAGGTGAGAAACTTACTGGTTGACTGTGTAAGAAGAAAATTCTATACCCTAAGTATCTTCCAACCTGATGAAATTATTTACGGGTATTGATTATCATTCACATAACCGCGACGGGGGCCGACATCGTCTACCAGATACCTTTGACCCAGAGTTGACGTCACACTTCAAAGAAGCCACGTGACATGCCTCACTGGGTCAGTCTACTGAGGAAGACCACAGTGACTGCTCCAAAGCTCTAGGTGAGAGAATTTTTGTGTTGGATCTAAAGTTTTAACTCTAAACTTGTTTTTGCTTCGTCATCTTCAACTGAAGTATATTAGGTGGCTTATAGATGTGGCTACGCTACAACCCGTGTTAGTAGCTAAAGCACACCAAGTCACTCCTACTCTTCTCCATTTCACAATTCACAGAAACTCAGAGGACTATTTCACACACGTATGAGTTCCTCTATTTCTTGTTACATTTGTATACAAGGTACTAGTACCTGGCATGGATTGGATCAGAGAACAGGTCTTTCAAGAAATAGCCTTCTTCAAAACACTTAAGCCGAAGGCTATTCGAGTCAGATGAAAACGTAACTACACAAAACCCCATTTTTAGATTGCGAAAGGATGTAAGATACGTACACTTCATAAAACAGCTTTACGAAAATACCTTTTCCAACTCTGCCCGATGTTATAGGTAGAGTAAAAAACATGTCATGGGGAAAAACTGCTACTAAAACACACAAATTGATTTTTGCATGTTTAACTCCTGGACTAGGAATGTTGCCAGACCGGTTTCTTCCCTCGACCAAGATGACCCCTGACCTGCCACCGCCACTTTTCTGTATCTGTATCTGTATAGCCGGTAAAACAGCCTTTCGGCGTAACACACCAGCTTAGCAGGCACGCGGCGCGGCGGCAGCTGGCTACATTACACCGATCGACTTGTTACACCTAACCCTTGAACATCTAACTCTACACGTTGTTTAAAGCTATCTAGTGACAATGCCCCTAGGTACTGTACTTGGTGACGGCGAGTTCCACTCTGCGATAGTTCTAGGAAAGAATGAAACACCTCAATCCCTGGTTGATAGTTCTGGTACTTGAAGGCATGGCTTTCTGCCCCTTTTTAGAATATTTTCAGCTCAATCGCAGTACTGTATCAACGGTTCAAAAAAGCGCAGAAAGGCAGAAAGATCAAACCGTGCTGTGCTGTATGATCACTGTGAATCGGTCTAAAGGGGCTATCATTGGACAGAGAAGGTGGCGGGCCAGAGAGAAGCCCCATCTTGCCTGCCTGCAGACTACTACTTTATGCTGAGGTCACATAATTTTCCAACCGGGGACCCGGCCGGGCAGTCTTATGGAACGAAAAGTATGATACAAAAGGCAGCAAAGCACAAAAAAGTTTTTGAAAATTAATAATGGGAACTATTTGCGTATATTATTGGTACAAATTGATGATTTTTCGTTAATCAAAACAGCCCAGCCGGGCCCCGGTTTGTTTGGAAATGTGACCTAAGCATTTATATACACTGAAGATATCAAAACAGCCATTATCTCCCGAAAGAAGTGGAGCTCAGTGGCGATATTGATGAAAACTTGTCTCTACTTACCGCGTAGCACTCGGACGTTGAGTAGCTAATTCTTGCCTATGTGTGGGCGTGCCTCTAGGTTGGAGGAATACTGGTATGCACCGCTACGGTAGAAATGGGCGCCTTACGGTCGCAGAACACAGTATTAATGCGCGATGCCGGTATAGAAAGTAGTGCAGACAAAACTCTTGAATCCTGGCGTAAACGAGGCAATGCTCAGGTCCAACTCATTTCTAAGTCATATTGCTATAAACCACCAATTGTACATATGCACAGAAAAGTCTGAAGATACAACTTTTATTTTCTGACCAATGTAATTATCATGTTTACCGAAGGAAAATTGTTTTTACTCAGTTTCCTCCTCTTCTTCTTCTCCAAACAGTGACCTCTGACCTGTCCAATGACATGATTTGTTGACGTCTGTCTTTTGGGTTACATAATGTTGTAATTTCATGGTCGAATGTGACTCGTCATCAAGCGTTGCTAGGCGACAGTCCACGTCATCATGTTCATGGCGGTCCGAACTTGACTTGCTTGAAGTTGTTCATCTGTCGTCTCCTGCAAAGAGATTAGTTAGTTATAGTCGTAGTTATGGCGATTTCTTGAGTTTTCCTTGCCTATCCAGACCACATCGCTGCATTTCGGAGTTTTTTGCCCAGTTTCTCTCTCCAGATCCGGTGAGTGGCGAAGAAATCGCGGCCGTGGTGCTGGAGCGACCACATCTCGTACACATCCGACATGTAATAACAACAACATATAGTCACACAACGTGGTGTCACCTGTGACCTAAAAACAACAACAACACGTGGTAACACCTGTTGTGTGGAAGACCGACAGAATCTATGCTCCCCTTGTTTTGCGGCTTTTTTTGCCTAAGGCCTAACTACAGGAAACCAGGAAACACGTACCAACCACACAATTAAGGCACATCAGCCAAGCCCTGACGCCTGCTCGTTCATCACATACTGTTATTCATTTTTTCACTGGGAGGCAAGTTGTGTTGCCGTACAGAAGACAACCATGTCTAGAGTGATATAGAAAACTTTAGTTGATACAAATGTATCTATATCTATCCATCTATCTAAGAGGACAATAATTGAGACTGAGACATGAAACATTTTGTCAAATATATATTATATTCTGAATAATAAAAGCACACTACAGACAGACTTTTCATTTGATACGTATGGCTTTAGCTGATGAATACCGTAAGTTAATAAATGGCTATCTCCAACCTAGTAATGTAACTACGTACATGGATACATCGGTTTGGCTAAATCGCTACTTTTGTGGCCTTTTTAAAATTCTAAAATAAAGCAACACAGGCCTAGTTATATAAAATATTATGCTTTGTGACATGTGATAATGAAAACATAGGGATGATATTGTAATATACAATACAGTGTTTTTTGCCTTTTCCTTTCATTGTAGGAAAAACGTTTCGAAGCGCCACAGGCACTCTTTCTTCTCAACAATTACTTCGTGTTGTCTTTCAAATAGACACAGGGAAACCTTAAAAGCTTACCCCTAGAATTAACCTAATTCTTTCTTAGCAAACTGCAAAGTCAGCATCTAGCATATACTTAAGGGTTTTAAAATGACAGTCCGACCCTACGAAACTATAGCAGCTCATAGAATATTGTAATGTCCTAAAAAAGACAAGCTAAGATAACATTTTATCTCTAACTATTATGCTTATCTTGACAGGTTTAAAAACTTCATAACTTATGTCTATCTTAACAGGTTATAAAACGACAGTCTACCATAAAAAGCAACACTAGTTTGTTCACACAACATTGCAACATTACTACGAAGACAAGCTTAAAGCTATTAATACTTTCTCTCTCATGTATACTTAAAAGTTATAAAAGCAAACTGCAGACTACTACTTTATGCTGAGGTCACATAATTTTCCAACCGGGGACCCGGCCGGGCAGTCTTATGGAACGAAAAGTATGATACAAAAGGCAGCAAAGCACAAAAAAGTTTTTGAAAATTAATAATGGGAACTATTTGCGTATATTATTGGTACAAATTGAGTGTTTCATGAAAGATTATTTAAGACGTAAGAGCTGTATTTCGCTCACTCACTCACTGGGTCGAGCTTCCCTCGGTTCAAATTAATGCAATTATTTCAATTATAATTTCAAGAATTCCAATTATTTCAAATTAATGCTTCGATTCCTTGCCCTGCTAATGTACCAGCACCTCCCATATGGTCTAGTGGTTAGGATTTGGCGCTCTCACCGCCAAGGCCCGGGTTCGATTCCCGGTGTGGGAAAGCAATCTTTTTCCAGCCAACTCTGAAGCCTGGAAGAGGCTAGAGTTAGACATGTGTCGTGTAGAAAAAAAAAAAGATTGCATTCCCACACCGGGAATCGAACCCGGGCCTTGGCGGTGAGAGCGCCAAATCCTAACCACTAGACCATATGGGAGGTACTTGTGCAGGCGTCACACAGAAATTCTCTTAACACCCGATATTGCCCATCAAGTACTGTGAGACCCTATAATTATGCGGCGTAAACGACGGTCCTGAAAGGTGCACTTTAGTATTTTATCGCAAGGTGGCGCAAACACCAATGCTGTGATCGATGGTATTTGGTAGACACAATCGAGCAATGCCGACAATGTGTACTCTCCAAGCAGAGGTTGTGGGGGAATGATCGTTACCTTTTATATATTGCCGTTTTTTTTGTCGCTACCCCCACCCACTACCCCCGTCGGTGGCCGGCGACCTTCTCTGGCTAATGGATACTGCCTGGCCAATTTGATACTGTCTTTTTGCCACCGAAAGGGATCTGCTTGAAGATTAGACAAGTTGGAGTGCTATTTAAAGACAATTTGTGTAATCCCCTCGTACCAGCACCTCCCATATGGTCTAGTGGTTAGGATTTGGCGCTCTCACCGCCAAGGCCCGGGTTCGATTCCCGGTGTGGGAAAGCAATCTTTTTTTTCCAAGACACAGAACTACAACTCGTATTTTTATTTTTATTTTTTTGGTAATGGCAGAGTGAGGTGTAACAAACAGGGGCGATCAGTAGAAACAGATTAAAACTAGAAAGGCCAATATTTGCTTTGGAGCAAATACAGCGATGGGTTCACCACATTTTACGACATGGCAGGGAAAGAATGAGAAACACAAGGGAAAACAATGATTTACATTGATATAACTATAATATGAAGTAACATACAACTAAAACAACAGTTGGATAGCTATTCCCTACTTTATTGGTTAGGATTTTTAATTGCATAATGCAAACTGTTGATTTTCAAAATAAAAAAAAACGTTCATGCCCCGCATTCCAATGCTGGAGCAGAAAAGCTTGAAATACCTACCAAAACACTTGAATAAAGACATACTGTCAGTATGGAAATGCTCTGTGCAGGTGTTATTAACAATCACATAAACTATGAAGCCATACATTGAATAAGCTATACATATAATATGATTATCATAACCTTTATTTTTAAAATCATGCCAGTGAGCTAATTGCATGTACAGAGTGAAAGAAAGTAAAGTAAAGCAGTAGAATTTCTGTACTAGCTATGATAGTACTTCATATGATTCGTCCTCATCGTCATCATTCAATGTGGTCTATCTCTTGCTACTAGTGACTGGTAATACCTCTGTAGATTCTTCACACTGGCAGAGTACCGTACTCCTTCTCTCTTGTCAGCTCAATACTTTTGTGACAACATCAAAGTGATTTTAGTTTGTATGTTGGAAAAATACAAAAGACTAACATTCTAAGTTATTGACATTCTTGAGTAAGAACAATCAGTTTTTGAATGTTAAAAGCAAAACAACGAAAAAAAAAAACTAGAAAGGCCAATATTTGCTTTGGAGCAAATACAGCGATGGGTTCACCACATTTTACGACATGGCAGGGAAAGAATGAGAAACACAAGGGAAAACAATGATTTACATTGATATAACTATAATATGAAGTAACATACAACTAAAACAACAGTTGGATAGCTATTCCCTACTTTATTGGTTAGGATTTTTAATTGCATAATGCAAACTGTTGATTTTCAAAATAAAAAAAACGTTCATGCCCCGCATTCCAATGCTGGAGCAGAAAAGCTTGAAATACCTACCAAAACACTTGAATAAAGACATACTGTCAGTATGGAAATGCTCTGTGCAGGTGTTATTAACAATCACATAAACTATGAAGCCATACATTGAATAAGCTATACATATAATATGATTATCATAACCTTTATTTTTAAAATCATGCCAGTGAGCTAATTGCATGTACAGAGTAGAAAGAAAGTAAAGTAAAGCAGTAGAATTTCTGTACTAGCTATGATAGTACTTCATATGATTCGTCCTCATCGTCATCATTCAATGTGGTCTATCTCTTGCTACTAGTGACTGGTAATACCTCTGTAGATTCTTCACACTGGCAGAGTACCGTACTCCTTCTCTCTTGTCAGCTCAATACTTTTGTGACAACATCAAAGTGATTTTAGTTTGTATGTTGGAAAAATACAAAAGACTAACATTCTAAGTTATTGACATTCTTGAGTAAGAACAATCAGTTTTTGAATGTTAAAAGCAAAACAACGAAAATAAAAAAAATGTTGAAATTGTTAAAATGCAGAATTGTTAAAATTGTTAAAACTGATAAAATTGTTAAAAATGATAAAAATGTAAAATGTTAAATTGCTAAAAATATTTATGTCCCGATGCACTGGGGTTCGAACTTGCAATGCCTGGGATTGCCGCCTTGCGCGTTTCCAACCGAGCTAACATGTTCGTGGAGGGCTAATTAATCTCTCGTGAAATACACACCGGGACGCTTATGTGAGGCGGGCGGGCCAGAGCTCTTGCGGCCCCGACCACGAATCAGACTGGATACCAGGCTATAACAGAACCTAGATAATACTAGTTGGTAAAGATTGCTGATAATTGTTGATACCGTGGCGCGCGCGCTGACGATACACATCCGTTCCGTGTCCTTTTTTGTTTACACGCCGGGCGCAGGTCATTGACCTCCAACTTGCGTTGTTCCAACAGAGAAGAGCAAAATGTCTGGCTCCCGCAGAACGTACCGCACTCTCCCGCTGGACGTACCGCACTCTCCCGCAGAACGTATCGCACTCTCCCGGAGGACGTCCCGCACTCTCCCGAGGGAAGTCCCGCACAGCGTCCTGCACTCTCCCGCAGAACGTCCCTCGAAAATTGATGCGTATTTCGTGGCCTGTGCTGTACCTACCAAAACACTTGAGTTCATACTGTCAAAATGGAATGGCTTTGAACAGGTGTTAATTGAGTTAATCCAATCAAATCCAACAGCCAATCAGCAAGAAGAAAAGATTAGGCTGCGTCAGGTTCATGCTTGCATGCCCATATATGGGCATGCCGCCGAATTTCTTTCTTATTACTGTGACGTCACGCGCGTACGCCCCCGCACAGTACTTTCCTATGGGACCGCTAAAAAAGCAAATAAAACGATTGTAAAAGCTTGTATCACAAAAATTTAAAAAACGCCTAGGGGTATTTGCCCACTGTACCTCCATACCAAATTTCAGGACCTTAGGCCCTAAAATGAAGAAGCTGAATCCATTTAAAGAAATGGCAGGAGGAGAAGAAGAAGAAGGAGGAGAATCATCAGCAAAGACAATATGGTTTCAACACACCACTTCGTGGTGTGGTGAACCCATAACAAGGAAAATCGTAGATTTTGTACCTCCGGGTATTGTAATGTATGATGCAGAATGTTGGGTGCATGTTGGGACTGTTCTTTAAATTAGTGAATGGTGTCTGGGTGTGTGTGTGTTCACGCGAATACCACGTGACACAACTATGCAAGAGGAAGCTACGCAACTTGACACCTGTGCGAACAAGAACAATATGATTATGAACGGGGATAAGTCCTATGAGTTGAGACTGTGCTTTTCAAAAAATCCACCTGTTCCACCTCCCCTCACACTTGGAGGCAAAGAAGTCCCGGTTGTTGAATGTGCCACGTATCTGGGCTTCAAACGTCACCGCAGCCTTGGGTGGGACAGCCAAATCTTACACATGGCAAAGAAAGGCTCAACCCGTCTTCACTTTCTGCGCATGCTCAAGAAGGGCGGGATGCCACCAGAGGACCTGGAAACTGTGTATACGACTCTGATACGACCTGTGTTAGAGTATGCAAATGTCGTGTACGTGGGCTGTAACCGGCAAAACAGAACAACACTCTTGAGGCTGTACAGAGAAGGGCGGCGAGAATCCTACGGCAACAGTACTCAAACAACCCCCTTCTCCACCCTCCAGGACAGACGGGAAACTGCAGCAAAAACTCTGCTCAAGCAAATGCGGCATGTCAGCCACACTTTGCATTCTTTGATGCCCTGCGACAGACACCAGAGCACACGGCGGTCCCTGAGAAATGGAAACCACATCTCCGTTCCGAAGTTCAGAACTGAAAGACTGAGGAAACCTTTTCTGTTTCAGGCAATAAGCCTCAGCAATCAAGATTTGTAAATAGTCCGCCTCTGTTTTAATGGACCTGAGCTACAAAATTTTAAATCTATTTAATTTTAATCGTCAATGTTGTGCTTTTTAATGTGTATCTCTTTTCAAGCTATTTTAACATGTAATCACTTGTGCAATTCAGCCAAGCAATGAATATTGGCTGCCAATCAATGTGAATAAAAAAACAGTTTCAGTTTTAGTTTTTCGAAAAGTTTCGAAATGTTTGTAATTGGCTAAATGATCTGTGAAATCACTAATCCCCCCTAGCCGACTGGAGCCCAAAAATAGAAAGGACAGGGGGCATCCCGTGGCGAATGTGGCTGCCCGACCCTCAGCGACCAGCGATCAACTCCAGTGCGCCGAACGGAACTTGCTCTCGAAAATGTATCAAGCCGCTACGCTTCCCCCCGCGGCTGCCATCCCTCCCCACTTATCCCACACTAGTTCAAATCACGTAAAAAACCCCATCAAAACATAGCACAGAAGCGTGTTCATATCTTTCATGTTACGGTTAAACTTAGAACCTCATTTGAGCGAACGTTACAACACGAGAACAAATAATATTTTCGAAAACAAATCGCAATCTTATCAGCAAGGTTTCATTGATTCCTGTTAGATTTAACCGGTACCAAACCGCGGCAGGCAGCTAAGAACAGCGACATATTTGCCACGGTTAGCACAAGTGGCGGTGATATATTCAGGTCGTGCCGCCATGTGTTTGTTTAGATATCAGTGTGAATAGCAGCCCTGTTTCAGACACGGCCGGCCTGCCGGCGTTTCCGGCACGGGCACGATAATGAGACGTTGATTGACGGCACATGTGGTTCACATCTGAACAGTTTCAAAGAAAGAATTTATCGACAATGCTGACACCCCTCTGTGTGAAAGGTCAGATCAGTGGTCGCGACCTCAATCGTCCTTATACATGCAAAGGTCAAAAGCTGAGGTCCACTTTCACACTGAAAGGGGTGTCCATCGGCGGTCTAAACGCATCATTTTGACGCACTAAAACACACATACTAAAAAACCAAAACAACGTGCACCATCTACAGCCCAACAGCAAAACGTATACCAACTCCCAGACATATCCGTCCACCCAAACGCGAGAAACGGGTGCGAACGCAATTTTCGTCTTCCCTCACAAAACCTCCGCGCTCGGGATGTACATCCCTACCCGGAGGTAAAAAACCTGGTCCCGGGGTTCGAACCCACGACCTCCCGAGCACTAGTTTCAGACTCCAACGCTCTAACCACTCGGCCGAAAACCACTCTAGACCCCTCAGCCGGGTCAGTTGGTAGCGCCTATAACCCCCCCCACACACACACACACACACACACTGTTACACTACTCCCCCTCTCCTTTTCAAGATTCGTCCTCGACTCTTCCGAATTCGACATCCCTGGAGCGGGTCGGATGATGAAAAACAGAACAATTTAGCACATTGCTAACATGTACATGGACAAGAGATTCAGAATGATTTCAAAGAAAAATACATGTACCGCATTTTCCCATTCCTACTCGTACATACAAGCCGATACATTTCTATTCCACACAGCGCAGTTTACTCCTGGCTACATAATTCGTTCTGGCCAGAATTCAACAGTTTTGTCTGCACTACTTTCTCAGTAGTACCCGCGTCATTGGCCCCCTGGGGTCGCCCATTAATACTGTGTTCTGCAACCATAATTTCGTAGTACCCAGTCCTACCACCAACCTCGAGGCACGTCCAGACATAGGCAAGAATCAGCTATTCAACGTCCGAGTTCTACCACCGTAAGTAGGCACAAGTTGTCATCAATATCGCCACTGAGCCCTAGCCTCCACCAGACCTTTCTACGGGAATACGGATCGTAGAATTCGGCAAAAAAGAGAGTAAAATTGGCCAAGGGAGTCCGGCCGCGGGGAGGTACTAGTAGTTTCTTTCGGCCTGTCAAACCTACAAGGCGGCCAAACTCCCCTGGCAATTATTCTCTTATATAGTCAGCGTAGTTAGTCTGAACCCCACTTCTTTCGGGAGCTTATGGGCCATGGCTGTTATGATAGCTTCAATGTGTAAACTAGTCTTCACCAGTAGTGTGCACGCAGGCAAAATGGAGCTTCTCTGGCCGGCCACCTTCTCTGGCCAATTATATCCCCCTTTAGGCCTTTACAGCAGGTATTTTATTTCACAGTTGCTTCTACAAAAAGTGTTTTTAGTAATGGCATAATTCAAATGCAACGTCTTAACAACAGTATTTCATATGAACAACTACAAGTTGCTTGGGAAACTGGACCTAGATTCATAATGATCATACGGCACGTACTGCAAATTCATTTATGAGGGCCTGCATGGGGGTTAGTGGTTACGAAATACGCAAAATTTTCGATTACGAATTACGTAAAGTTACAGAGCTGATTACGACTTTACGCTTTGCGGCTAGTGTACTGATTACGAATTACGTTGATTTTTTGGGAAGGCTGCCTACGGTTTACGAAGACTAAAAAGGCCTGATTACACCTTACGAAAAAGGGCATGCAGGCCCCTGTTTACGTTCGCGAGGACTAACTTTCGCGTAGCGGGGTGAATACTAAGTAATCTACGGCCAGGCAAGGTTGCCAAACCGGTTTCTTCCCTCGTCATGCACCAAGATGAACCCTGACCTTTTTTTACTTACTTGATAGGTCACCACAAAACAAGGCTCATGGGAGCCACTCAAAATGTTTTGGGTTACTGTACAGCCAGTGAGGACAGATGTTTGTTGACCTTAGACTTGAAAAGTTTAAGGTTATACTCAAAAGGGAAACAATCACGAGGTAGCTTATTCCAAAGTGATGTTGTTCTGGGAAAGAAGCTTTAGGACCAAACACTTATGGAGAAGAGTAGGGGTGACTTGGTGTGCTTTAGCTATAATTAAAAAAAAACACGAGCTGTAGCCTAGCCGCATCTACAAGCCACCTGATATCCTTCGCCTCAGTTGAGGATAGCAAAACAAAAACAACTTATCCCTAGATGTAGGCCATATCTTGTACATGAGCAGAAATTGACATATTGGGTTATGTTTATCCGTTTAAAAATACAACAATCAACAGATTTTGTTAATATTCCAACATCTAATCACAAGACGTGGCGACAGCACATTTAAGTTTTTTCAACTTATATTAATGCCGCCACCAACACAGGAGACAATACAATACTCATTTTCACCTGAGCGAAAGTGCCTTTCCCAAGGGCACAAGATGATCCAAGGTTGGTGGCATGTCAGGCCTTGAACCCGGGACCTCTTGATTCCGAGTCGAGCACTCTGCCGCTACACCACACGACCCCACCAACAGATCAACAGATTTCTTTCAGTTAAAACTTTAGATCCAACACGAAAAGTTCTCTCTTGCTCACCTAGAGCTTTCGACCAGTCACTCTGTTCTTCCTCAGTAGACTGACCCAGTGAAACTTACCACGTGGCTTCCTTGAAGTGTGGTAGGTCTTAGGAAGACAAAGCTCAAGGTCAAATGCGGACCTCCTGGTGGATGACCTTGGTTCTGCAGCAGTATCTTTTGTCCTGAACATGCTATGGTCTTGACTTTTTGTTTTCATTTGATATACAGGAATTAACCATGGGCAACGTACTTGGAACCGTCCAATACCTGACTTCGTTCTACCGGATGTTCGCACCAAACCCTGATGAAGACTTCGCGGAGTGTAACAACGGGGTCCCCTGCCGCGCGGTGACCGGAAACAAGGCCGTGCAGTCTATAATGTACGACTTCGACCGTTTCCAGAAGGAGGAGTTCACATTTTCCGGCTTGATCGCGCCCGAGGAGCTGACGGACGGCGTCTGCCTCAGCGCGCTGTCCAACGGGAAGGCGCACGAGAAATACAAGGGGTTTTTGATGGACGTCATCTCAAAGGTAACCCAACATTCAACTAGCTTAATTCCCTTTTAGAAAGTCTTATTTATGTTATTACCTTCGCGAAGAAGTTTATGTTTTCAGAGGCGTTCGTGTGTGTGTGTGTGTGTGTGTCTGTCTGTAAACACGATAACTTGAGAAGGCTTAAATGGATTGTTTTGATACTTGGTAGGTGGGTAGGTCTTGATGAGACATCAAAATGATTAGATTTTGGACCCCCTAGCGGCTTGTTATGGTACTGCAGCTGAACTTCCGGTTTTGATATCTCATGATCTACTTGTAGTTGCTATACTTCTTGGTTCAAATCATTTAAGTGTTACTTAGCCTGCATATTAGTTTATTTTGCTATCATTTTTTTAAAATTATTTAATGTTTAATCACTGATTGAGGAATATTCTACTAACTGATAATTCTACGTGACTGATGAACCTCTTCAACCTTATGGTAGCAGAACACAGTATTAATGGGCGACCCCCGGGTCTGTGACGCGGGTATAGAAAGTAGTGCAGCGAATATTCTTGAAGGCTGGGTAGAAAGCCTGATAAGAGCGTCAGCCAGATGTAAATTGTGCTGTGTGGTGTAAGAATGTATCGGGTTTTTGAGACTGTATGATTTGAATTGTGAAGGTTTTGCAGTTCGTGTATAAATGCGCCGTATTGCGCAACTGGCTTTCCGGGTGAGTCGGCTGCAGTTCAGGTCACGTCCGTAGAGGGCGATTTGAAAGTGTACGTTACGAGCAGATACGCCCACAGGATTTTTTGGTTTCTAGATATTTTGTAGTTTGTACCCTCTTCTGAAACATATTCGATTTTCGTATTTGTGAAGTGCACCCTGCTATAATTCTTACCGCGTCGAAGTTAGTCATCTTGGGGTCCTTAACTATAGAAATCCCCATAGGGCGAAAACTGTGTTCTGCAACCTTATGGGGTTGTGTGGCGTAGCGGCAGAGTGCGCGACTCGGAACTATTAAGAGTCCCGGGTTCGAGTCCTGACATGCCACCGATCTTGTGCTCTTGTTGGGAAAGACACTTTACACGACTTTCCTCACTTCACTCAGGTGAAAATGAGTATTGTCCTGTCATGTATTTGTCCCCTGTGTTGGTGGCGGCATTAATATAAGTTGGAGAAACTTGAGTGTGTCGTCACCACGTCTGGTGATTACATGTTGGAATAAAAATAATAAAAAAACCCTCTTCAACTTCAGTAAGATAATTCTTTCAATCAGTGACTATTGAATCCTAAGATACATACCGAATTTTCGACGACTAGTCAGTTCGTCTTGATCACGGAATAATCCTAGTCTCGCGAGAGAACACGAGACGAACTGACATACTAAGGTATGTACCTTAGGATTTAATAGTCACTGATTGAAAGAATTATCTTACTGAACTTGTACTCTACGTGACTGATGAATCTCTTCAACGAACCTCTTCAACGATTTAAAAAAAGGGTTACGGTGAGCTCCCGTCCTGCACCGCGCGGTCTGTGCTGTCGAACGTGTCCCAGTGGGGGAAGGGGCCGGTGGACGACTTCGAGTTCAAACTGCTGGTCGTGATGTGTGAGGCGATTCTCCCAACCATCTACGGCCAATCAGCGTTCGATGTGAAAGACATTGAGACCTACGTCGACGGCATAACTTCCGGCCAACCAAGATCGCGGATCTTACAAGTGTTATTGTCTTGGAGAAGTCTCGACGCAGCACACAGGGCGAAGGCGTCTGTTGTGGAGAAAATACAGACATCAGAAAGGTACGTGAAAAACGTTTAACAGTTCTCCTTGCTTAAAGTTAAAACTTTTGGTCCAACACAAAAAAAGTTCTCTCACCTAGAGCTTTCGACCAGTCACTCAGTCAGCCAGTCTTCTTCAGTAGACTGACCCAGTGAAGCTTGTCACGTGGCTTCTTTGAAGTGTGACGTCAACACTGGGTCAAAGGAGCACGTCGGCAGAACGTACTGCACCTGCGCGAAACCCGTAATGTATTGTACATAGCATTTCGGCAGAATGTCTCATATAAGGTTGTATTCGCTCATATAAGGTTAGCATTTCGACAGTAGTTTCCAAATGTTATGTAGGAAAGAATATCCTCTGCAACAGGCAAAATTCTGATGCAACGTTGACCAAAAACCCCACGAAAAACGCGAAAATACGGGGTTCTGCGCAGGCGCAGTACGTTCTGCCGACGTGCTGGTCAAAGGTATCTGGTAGACGATGTGAAAGTAGCCATGGGACAAGCTTCGCTGGGTCAGTCTACTGAGGAAGACCAGTGTGAATGGTTCAAACCTTTAGGTGACAGAATTTTTTTGTGTTGGACCAAAAGTTTTAACTTTAAACATGTAACTACCAACACAGATGAGCTTTCATGCTATCAATTCACCTTATCTAAAGTTAGGTTGCAGAGAGTCTGTGGCGCCCCCCGTCTCTGTTGAGGGATGGTTGTAATGCCCCGATGTAGATGCCCTCGTGCAAAGAAGTCCGGTTCTACTCATGATCTAATTTGTATTTAAAGGTACCAGCAGCTGATGGATCTGGCGAAATCACACGGAATGGGAGAGCACGAGGCGACGATGCAACTCCTCATCTCCATCAGCCTGAACGGGGTTTGCGGCAGCGGCGCGAATCTCGTCACAGTCTTCGCCTGCTTGAGTAAGAATCAATCAATCAATCAATCAATCAATCAATCAATCAATCAATCATTCATTCAATCAAATGGTTTATTTGTGAAAACAAACAAGAACTTGTAGCCGTTGGCTAGATTGTGTCTTGCTGTACAATTTGATTTCTTGACATATTAAGCATAACACATTAAAATTGCTAAGTTATTCAATAAAATCCATATCATTATAACGGTTTCAAGTTCAACATTAAAACTAACAATTACAGACATATATGAAATACGTACTAACGCAATAATATACATAGTAAAAAATGAGACTAGAGGACAGACTAAACACACTAGAAATACGATACACATTGAACGGATTGTTGTTTTTCCTAGTCTCCATGGCATGCCAAAAACTGTGGGTTTTGGGGTCTTCATGGTATTTGGGAGCTTATACGATTGCATTGCATTCCGTAAGATTGCACTGTATACTAATACGATTGCACTGTATTCCGTAAAATTGCACTGTATTCCGTAAAATTGCACTGTATACTCTGGCACCCCTGACACTTAGACACCCTCAGCGAGGAGGACCGGGAGGAGCTACGGGAGGAAGCGCTCGCGGCTATGCGGAAACACGGAGGCCTGACTCGTGAAGCCCTGCAGGAGATGCCGAAGGTTTGTGTAAAGTTTCAGTTTTTTTTTTTTATTCAGAAATGATGATTACAAATGAAAAGACATGGACTAAGTGGCTGCGAACTCAAGTTAGGTACAACTTATATTCTCGCAGCCACTTTTACAATGAAAGAAAAATATTTTACAAGACATTAAAAAATACATGAGACCTCGCGTGAGTAACAAACCTCCCATCCCAGAAGACACATACAGTTAGAATCTTTTTGTTTCTAATATATAATTTTGAGCGGCTAACATTATTTTACTGTTGGTATCAAACGAACAAAGGAAACTACCGCGAAGAACTAAATATTGTATAGAATTATCAGAAAGGGTGTTTAAATCAACATTACAAGTTTCAGTTGTATATGTGTTCTAGCATACATTACTTTCATGTATCAACCAAGGATTGAGGTTCAAGAATTCATTTTTTCCTAGAACTACCGTACAGAGGAACTCGCTGTCACCTAGTACACTAGGGGCATTGTCATTAGATAGCTTTAAACAGTGCCTAGACTTAGATGTTCAAGGGTTAGGTGTGACAAGTCGATCGGTGTAACATAGCCAGCTGCCGCCGCGCCGCGTGCCTGCGAAACTGGTGTGTTACGCCAAAGGGCAGTTATACCGGCTATACAGATACAGAAGCTGGTGTGTTACGCCGAAGGGCGGTTATACCGGCTATACAGATACAGATGCTGGTGTGTTACGCCGAAGGGCAGTTATACCGGTTATACAGATACAGATGCAGGTGTCCTTTTATCTTTTTGTCACTACAAAAGGTTGAGAGCCTGGTCTTGGAAGCGCTGCGGTTCAGTCCGAGCCCAGGAACTTCCAGCAACGTGATCGCAGTGCGACCGGCGACTTGCCCGTACACCACGCAGAAGGGAGAACAGAAGGAAGCGGAGGTGGGTAAACCAAATGAAATATACATCATGTGACTCCTCCGCCATGTTGGTTCTATGTGTGTGTGTGTGTGTGTTTGTCAGTGTGTATGTATGTGTGTGTGTGTGTGTGTGTGTGTGTGTGTGTGTGTGTGTGTGTGTGTGTGTGTGTGTGTGTGTGTGTGTGTGTATGTGTGTGTGTGTGTGTGTGTGTGAGTGTGTGTGTATGTGTGTGTGTAAGTGTGTGTGTGTGTATGTGTGTGTGTGTGTGTGTGTGTGTGTGTGTGTGTGTGTGTGTGTGTGTGCGTGTGTGTGTATGGGTGTGTGGGGGGTGGGTGGTTGGTTAGATCTTGATGAGACCTCGAAAGGATTGCATTTTCGGCCTCCTGGTGGCTTGCTATGGTACTGCAGCAGAACTGGTTTTGATATTTCATGATGTGGACATGCTAGGGTCACATATCATTTTTGCTCTGTTCCTTTTCTTTCTCTTCTTCTTCTCCAAACAAATAAGGTCAATGACCTGTATCAGACGTCTGTCCCCATTTAAACTTACTTCATAATCATGTATTTCAGATCAAGGAAGGTGAAGTTGTGTTCATGTTTTCCTACTGGGCATTGAGGGATCCGACCGTCTTCGACAAAGCAGACGAGTTCGTGTGGCGCAGGTTTGGTTTCAATTTCAATTTTCAATTTTATTAAGAATAGTCAACATAGCAGGGGTACATAGTACTCCTGAATTGTGTGCACTTTACATATTATTAAATATAAGAAACGCACAAGACAATTACATACAAGAGTGGGACATGAAACAAAAGAACACCAAGTCTGCATTTCGCTATTGTACAGTCTGATTGTGCAATGGAGGAATGAGTTGTACAGCCTGTTTGTCCGTGCCTTGGGCACCGTGATTCCCCCAGAGTTCCTCAAACACCTCCCTGTGCTGTCCGACCTGCTGTCCCTGTGCTGGTTTGGTTTATTATGTTTACCGAAGGAAAACATATTGTTTTTGCTCAGTTTCTTCCTCTTCTTCTTCTCCAAACAGTGACCTCTGACCTGACCAATGACATGATTTGTTGACGTCTGTCACCATGGTGACTGGTGTTGGGTTACATAATGTTGCAATTTCATGGTCTGCTCTGCACCAATTACTTTTAGTTCATGTATGTGAGTGTGTTTGAGTAAGAGGTAACAGAGCAGACCATGTCCGAAGGTAAACATTTTGCATTTGCTTTGCAAATGTAACCTCTCTAGTTATGAAACACATTTTGTTAGCCAGTGTCCTCACTATGAGACCGACAGAATCAGATTATTTCAGACAGTTACCACAATTTCTCCGTCCTTTCGTCATTTAGAAGATCACCAAAAGACTACGTTTCTACCAAGATCACAAAACCCACGAATTATGCAGAACGTGGGACTATTCATTATCCACTGACTTTCAACTTTGAATTATTCATCTAGTATAAAGCGCATGCCATAATTGCATTTTTGTTGGAATCAGAGAAAATGACGTAAAAGTTACCTCCTATCGTTCTACCTTCTACCGAAGACTCTCCTACCCACACGGTCGCATTACGTATATCCGCTTCTTACGTCATATCCGTGATCTTTACTAGGCATTATGGGAAGTGTGAAAGTCATGAATATTAAAAAACAATGATTTTCGTAAATTTCGTCGGCAGGTTTCTCGGCCCCGAGGGCAAAGCTCGCCGGGAAAACCATATCATCTTTAACGGGCGACTCGTGGATTCTCCCTCAGTCAACAACCACATGTGTCCCGGTAAGTTAGCTCATTGATATGTAAGGCCCCGGTCACTACCCGCCGTACGTTGTCCGTTGTGCTTTTTGTCCGTACGTTTTTTTTCTTTTGGGGCGGCCACGTCTGCTACATTTTTCTGAAAACGTGGGGAAGGAGTGGCGTCGACGTACGATCTCTGTGCGATTGCAACTTTACCGTAAGGAGGTCGTACTCACACGTGCTTCTTACGTACGGTACATACGGGGCACGTGTCGCTCCTACTCGCACGTACGGGTGGTGAATCCGCAGACCGCACGTAGAAAAAGTTTTACATGCACTTAAAGTTCTACGGCGTGTCTGCGTGCTCCCAAATCCGTAGGCTTCCGTACGGAAGCGGTACTCACCACGCACGGATACCCTACGTTTGCCCACGTTTTTGCACGTAGACAGCACGCAGAAGCACGTACGGCAGGTTGTGACCAAGACTTAAAGTACATAGGGTAGTTCCTATGGTTAGACAACACCATAGGAACTGCAAGTAAGGTTTTGAAGGAAGAGAAATGGGTTTTGAACGATAAAAAATGGGTTTTGAACGATGAGAAAATGGGTTTTGAACGAAGAGAAAAAAGGTTTGAACGAAGAGAAATTGGTTTTGAACCACGAGAACTGACATGACGAAGCCTTGTTGAATCGTAAGGGTGTCCATTAGTAATAGTCTTTGACTAGTTGGGACACCCTGGCTTCTTTGTAAGCAGAAATAAATAGATAAATAAAAAGTACCTATGGTCCTTCGTACGTAAGGACGTCGGTGGCGCAACGGTTAGAGCGTTGGACTCGGAACCGAGAGGTCCTGGGTTCGATACTCACCGTGGCCCGACGTTGCGCCCTTGGATAAGGCACTTTACACGACTTCCCCACCATGTACGGTGGAGTGACGCTCACCGAGCCTCACAGGCTAATTGTCTAACTGGGTGCCAAAAAAACACCCTACGGATTTGGTGCGCCAATGTGTCAACATCAGCACATTTGCGACCAAGAGCCGTTAATGTTTTTTTTAGGTAAGGACGTTGCGATTTCGGCGCTGAAAGGCATCATCGCCATTCTCAACACCTTCTATGGATGGGAACTCGAGGAAGCGCCGTACTGGACGGGGACGAAAGCGGCTCGCATCGGCAAACCTGACAACGAAATGAAAATCAAGTCATTCTGGCTGCAACGTCCCGAAGACCTGAAAGAGATTTTTCCATCCTACCTTGATGACATGTGAGAGATTCTTATTGTGCGCAACTGGCACGGATTTAACCCTATTCAGACAGGGGTGGGGTGGGGGGCGGCTTTTCTAGCCTCTACCAGGCACGGCGGATCGCCGGAAAAATAGTAGAAATCGGCCGAAATAAAGGAAAAATATACCAGAGAAGATCCAATTCGCGACCCGTGGGTCGCCAATTGGATCTTTTCTGGCCGGCTACCTCCCCTGGTATATTATTCCTTTATTTCGGCCAATTTCTACTATTTTTCCAGCGATCCGCGGTGCCTGGTAGAGGCTAGGTTTTTCAGATCCACGCCAACTTTCATCTCAGATAGCGCCTGATCGGCTTGGGCTAGAACCGTCAAATTTGGTGAATTATCCTCATATATATCTGGGAACAATTTCATATTAATTAGATGAGTTTATGAGTTTTTCGTGTTGCCATGGTAACGGGTTTCTGACAGGCAGTGTTTGGAAAAATCAGTAAAATTAAAAAGTAACATTATAATTTTCTGTTTTTTTTGTTGATTATACTTCCTTTCTAACATTAATAACATATATAATTATATGTAATTTCTCTCATTGAATATTCATGATTTATGCTAATTTGATGACGTCATTGGTCAAAATCCAAGATGGCGGACTATATCATTAGCTCTGGTGTTACCCGTTCTGAATTGGGTTAATTTTGATGGCACCAAAATTTGCTGTAGTACTTTGTATTTTCAGCCCTTATTTCATTTCTTGGAGGTTTTTTTCGGTATATCTTTATTTTACTTCTTGTAGGCTTGTTTAGCTAAGCTTTTACATGGCCAATAACAAAATATAAGTTTAGCTAGTTATTTTGCAAAAGGCGGAAATTAATGCAGTCATCTTAAAATTCGCAACTTTACGTACTTTTTCATATACATTTTTCATATATCATTTTGCCATTGTTAACTAGTGAAACCAGATAATAATACTGGTTTATTGTTCTTCGTGCACATGTTACATCTCTGATAACAAAATAAACAGTGAAAATGATAATAATTAATGCTAATGCTACTTTGGATATAGTTATTGTTGGGTTTAATTTTTTTTCGTGTGCAGTGGAGTATGAAATGGCCGACATTTTGCGAGATGTATGAATTGGGAGGTGTTAATGGAAATGCAGTTTTTTTTTTGTAGGCTGGGAAGGTGATTAAAGCTAGGGAACATTTTTTACCATTTCAAATAACTTATCTCTTTCGGTGCTATGTAATGAGGTAATAAAGTGCATTTCATTCCTCCACTGCATTTCCTGTACAATATTTACATATTCTGTTGTCAACAGACAATTGTTTGTAAATGAAGTAATTATAAGGAATGATCTAGCAAGGACCAGGGTTGACAACGGACTGCTACGACTGTTAATGTGACTCGTCATCATGCGTTGCTAGGCGACAGTCCACGTCACCATGCGTTGCTAGGCGATAGTCCACGTCATCACGTACATGGCGCCTGTCCGAATGTGACTTGCTTGAAGTTGTTCATTTGTCGTCTCCTGTAAAGAGATCAGATACTCATAATCAGAATGGGTATTAGGTAAGTTAAATTTCCTTCCAGCATCAAGTGACGTATAGGGCGGCGCCCATCTCCGTGTTAATAGCCCTTAGGCCACACAGCAGTGCAATCACTAAAGCAGGGGCTGGTCTAGCCTCTACCAGGCACCGCGGATCGCTGGAAAAATAGTGGAAATTGGCCGAAATAAAGGGATAGTATACCAGAGAAGATCCCGGGCCATAGAAGATCCAATTTTGGTCCGCGGTGCCTGGTAGAGGCTAGGCTGGTCCACTGGTAGTGGTGTGTGTTTTACTCCTTGCTCTTTCCCAAATGCTGAGTGCTAAGCAGAGAAAGCAGTACGTTTCATTTTTAAAGCCTTTGACGGTATGGCTCGGCCAGGGATCGAACCGACGAATTATATACCGAATGGAAGGCGAGCTTGGCCATTACATCGGTTCAGAATGGATATACCATCAAAATACTATACTTCTGCTCGTAAATGCATCGGTGCAGAACGAGGCAGCTGTTGTTTTGAATATATAACCCTTTGCACGTGTTACGACACATGTATTGTACAGATCAGAAAGTTGCCTAACAAGTTTGACTTGTTCTGTAGTTACATAGTGACACATAGTTATATAGTGACACATATAATTACAGACAACTTCTAGTTAATGCAATGACAGAGCGTCCAAAGATTGCACTATATCATACTTGGTACAGTAATATACTCTCCAAGCAGAGGTTGTGGGGGAATGATCGTTAGCTGTTTACATATGGCCGTTTTTTCTGTCGCTAATCCCACCAACCATCCCGTCGGTGGCCGGCGACCTTCTCTGGCTAGTGGATACTGCCTGGCCAACTTATACTGTCTTTTTGCCACCGAGAGGGATCTGCTTGGAGATTAGCAATAATGTCTTACCTGACTGGTTCTAGCTTCATAAACAGTTTCTTGAAAAGCTCCACCTCGTCCTTTTCCTTAAACAGGAACATCATTTCCTCGTCCTCCTCCCCCGACATGTCCAGCAGCCCCCTGACCGTCCTGACCCCCGCCAGCGCCTGGCTGTACCTGCCCGCCCAGATCAACTCCTGTAGGTCCCACAAACAGAACCGCAGGTCCGACACGGTCAGGCCTACAGACACATACGTACACAAATGTTAAATGTGCAAAGATTGGGTGCAACAAGTCGTTCGGTGTGATGTAGCTACCTGCCGCCGCGCCACGTGCCTGCGAAGCTGATGTGTTACGCCGAAGGCCGGTTATACCGGATATACCGATAACGTTACAGACACAAACAGACCCTTGCAATATAAGGCGTAGTATATGAAGACCTAAAAGTATGGATATGCATTTATATAAATTTACTTTATGATAACTCTGACCTCTCATGTTTGCTATATCAGTTCTTTCCTTTCAATGATAATGTTGTTCGTTAAGTATACGTAGATAATGTGTAATGGTGGTTATGTTATGTGTTATAGGTTTTACACATGACTCCAGGAAGACTAGTGTACTACATATACAGTATCACTAATGTAGATCTGTTTCAAATGAACAAATAAACAAACCTCTGTCCGGGTCCGCCAGCTCCACCGTGCAGACGGGCACCGCGGCCTCCCCGGAAGAAAGGCGGCGGACGTGCGGCTCCACGACCGCCCAGAATCTCTCCATCTCCGCCTCCGTCCACAGCGGCTCTCTTCTGGTTTCCTCTGGCTCAACTTCGAACTGAGGTTCTGTCGAATCGAGTTCTATCGAATGAGGTTCTATCGAATGAGATTCTATCGAAGGTGGTTCCGTAGAGGAAGGTTCTATGGAAGCGGGTTCGATAGAATTCGAAGGACGTTCTGAAGAAGAAGGTTCGACAGAAAGAACTCTGTGTTCCATGGAACCTCTTCGCTTCACCTGGACAGTCTTTTCCTCTTCGGTGTACGTTTTAGTCGTCGTTATGATGATTTCTTGGGTTTTCTCGGCCTGTCCAGACCACATCGCTGCGTTTCGGAGTTTTCTGCCCAGTTTCTCTCTCCAGTTCCTGTGAGTGGAGAAGAAATCGCGGTAGTAGTGCTGGAGGGACCACATCTCGTCTGGTCACAGGCATGTCTGACACGTAATAACAACAATATAGTCACACAACGTGGTGTCAGCTGTGACCTAAAACCACCACAACACGTGGTATCACCTGTTGTGTGGAAGACCCACTCATCTACCTCTTGTTTTGCTGCTTCCGTTTTTGCCTAAGGCCTAACTACAGGAAACCGGTACCAATCACAATGCAGGTACACAATTAAGGCACATGATAGATAAGACAAACATCCAAGCCCCGAAGCCACTTTTATCACTTTTTTTTCATCAGGGCCGGTCGTACGCGTGTTGTTACACAAGACAAGCATGAGAAACCTTTCCCAAATAGGTCCAGACACCTTGAATTGTTGACATCTTAAGCTTGCACGTAATGTAGGTTAATGATATATCTGGACATCGTCCATTTTTCTTTGACAATTTCGGTCGGCCTCTTGAATAACTTTGAACAATCTAACTATATATATATATATATTATATCTAAGAAGGATAATAATTGAGACTGCACATGAAATGTTTTGTCAAATATATATTATATTCTGAGTAATAAAAGCACACTACAGACAGACTTTTCATTTGATACATATGGCTTCAGCTGATAAATACTATAAGTTCATATATGGCTATCCAACCTAGTAATGTTAACTATATAAAACAATGGTCATTGCTGATAGTGCAATGTGAACAATCGTGAACACCTACCTACAAATGGATACAATGTTTTGGCTAAATCGCTACTTCTGTGGCCTTTTTAACATTCTAAAACATTATATGGCCTAAATGTTATGCTTTGCGATATCCGATAATGCAAACATATGGGTGATATTGTAATATACAATACAGTGTTTTTTGCCTTTTCCTTTCATTGCAGGAAAAACTTTCGAAGCGCCACAGGCACTTTTTCTTCTCAACAATTACTTCGTGTTGTCTTTTAAAATAGACACAAGGTAACCTTAGCCCTAGGAATAATCTAATTCTTTCTTAGTAAACTGCAAGTCAATATCTACCCTACACTTAAGGGTTTTAAAATGACGGTCCAACCCTACCAAGCTAAAACAGCTCATACAATATTGTGTAATGTCCTTACAAAGACAAGCTAAGATAACATTCTATCCTATATTTACTTAATGCTTAAATAGCCTACCTTAAAAAGCAACATATAAGTTCATATAATATTGTAACATTATTACTAAGACAATCTACTAATACAATAACATTCTACAGTATCTATGGCTTAACATTTGCTTATCTTAAAATGTTATAAAATGATAATATAGCCTTAAAAGCAACACTATTTTGTCCATACAACATTGCAACATTACTACGAAGACAAGCTTATAACTTGCTTATAACTATTAATAATCTCTCTCTACCTTATGTATAGTTATACAAGCAAACAGCTCATTATGGCTTATAAATTATGATATGTCAGTTACCATATTTTAACACATTTTGCTCGATTGAGCTACATATTTTCTGGGTTTAACAGCAGAACTCTTGGAGTTCATCACTAGAGTTACTTGAGCTCGGTCAGGTAGAACAGACTACCCGGCTGTGGGTAGAACTGTGGCCAGTTTCCGGTCTGGGCCAGCTGACGCGTCTTTCCCGAGCCGTCACACCCCAACAACTGCGCCTGGGAGTCCTGTAGGGGAGGGAAAGAAATGATAAGGTTAGACATCCCGGTAAAAAGGTACGAAAAAAGTTACTCAAGCAACCGGGATACGATTTTGGAAATGGTCAGACGTTTCAGGTACTAGTAGCATCCACCGTACTACCTTTCGTCAGTGACTCTGGAGAGTTGTCAGAAAAGCAGGTTAACTTTATAAGAACGAACTATTGATGAGGTAGTGGATGCTGCCTGAAACGTCTGACCGTTTCCAAAATCATATGGCTAGTTGCCTGAGTAACTGATAGGAAGGGGGGGGGGTGAGGTTAGAATAATAATGACAATGACAATGAACTTTATTGCATATTCACGCCCCACATGGGCCAAATACACTAAGTTAAACAAGCAGGGTACAAGAGTGGAAGGAACTAGTGCTAGATTGCTGTGCTACATCCATATCTACATGCTACATCTATATCTACATTTTTTAAACATACATGAGCAAATTTACAAAGTTTTTCATTCACATCGTAGTTCATGGATATGAACTACGACTATGATATCAAATATGGAATGATAAAATGATGATGGCCAGGGGTAGGTTTAAGTTAGAATTATAGTGATGATGATACCGATTAAAATGATATTAATGATAATAATGACATAAATTATGATACTGATGATAACTGTGATAATGATATTGATATTATCGATACTAATGATAACTTTATTGGTTAACCATTGTGTATTATACAAGACTAAGATTTTTACAGACTCAAAGAAAAGTGAAGGTGATAATGACCTTGAGCGTGATGTGCCATCCCAGGTGTTCTTCATACCCGCACAGGAAGAAGCAGTTCTCCTTAGGGATCACTTCCGGGTCAGGGATCTCAGTCGCAGGGTCATCCTCCTGTAGTCAACATTTCAGAATTAGAATTTTTGTAACATATTCAAAACTTCTTTTCTAGTTAAACTATATATCTAATAAAAAGGTAATGTTAAGAAATCCCCATGTCTTTATATTTGTGTAATAGTGTAAGAATAGTCATTTGAATTCCTTCCTTCCTTCCGTCCTTCCCTCCTTCATTCGTTCAATCCTCTACTCTAGTTTCCCGACATTTTTCTTAGTTCTCCAATTCCATTCTTTATTTGTCCATTCATTCATTCATTCATTCACTCGCTCACTCATTCATTCACCAACCCATTCACGCACTCACCAACTCACTCATTCAATAATTCACTCACTCGATCAACCAATCACTCATTTATTCACTCACTCACCCACTCTCACTCATTTACTCACTCATTCACTCTCACTCACTCACTCACTCTCTCACTCATTTACTCACTCATTCACTCACTCATGCTCTCACTCACTCACTGACTCACTCACTCACTCACTCATTCACACACTCACTAACTCAATTATTCATTTACTTTCTGAAACAATGAAAGCGTACTGACCACAGCGACATATCGTCCGTCCGTTGACAGACACACGGAGAAGGTTTTGTCCTCCAGGACGGAGTCTTTCGGGTCGATGTCGGCGCCGGCGATCTTGATAGAAACCTTGTCCATCAGCTCTCCTGTATCACTGCAGAAATCCATCTCCTCTACCTTCCATTTGAAGTACGCTGTAGTTGGAGAGATGAGAAAAAATCATTTATACTAGAAAGGTAACATTTGCAAAGCAACTGCATAATGTTTACCTTCGCATATGGTCTGCTCTGTTAATTATTACTCAAACACATTCATATATATGGTGATCATGACAGGAGTCTAAATCCCTCCTGCTATAAAATTGCAAGATGATGTAACCTAACACCAGTTACCATGGCGATAGACTGTCTGGTTCAGGTCATTGACCTTATTGGTTTGGAGAAGAAGAAGAGGAAACAGAGCAAAAAACAACATGTTTTCCTTCGGTAATCACAATTAATCAAGTTTAGAAATGTTTAGTTCCAAACAGAATAAGCACAACTGTGTTATGCACTTATAGAGAGAATTGTGTATCAATTCTAGGTAACTGCAAAGGTTATAAAATGTACATACTGCTGGTGACGTCCGTTTTGCCAGTAGCCTGCAGCTTAAAGGCCGAGATGTTCGAACTTTTCGAGCGCTTCGCCATCTTGGTTTTCTTGCTCTTGCTGACCTGGAGGTACCCGTCTCCCTTCTTACTCATGGGGGACCAGAGCTGGACGATACTCTGACTGGGACGCGGGGCTCTCACCTGAAGGGGGTAAATAAGGGATTATATTACAGTTAGAACTTGCGACAAGATGGCTGACCCATGACGTCATGACCCGAATCATCATGGCGGCGCCCATGGACATAGGGTAAAACAGAACAAGTTTTTGTTTTCAAAAATTTGTACAAAAAAACATTCTGTGTTCAGTCGAATTGAAGCTTTAAGACTTTCGACAAAATGGCTGACTCATATACATGACGTTACAAATCATCATGGCGACGCCCATGGACGAAGGGTAAAACAGAACAGGTTAAAATCTTAAAAGAAATAAATTTCTTTACTGTTGTAGGTCGAATCTTTTTCCATAAACTTAGGTTCTATGAAACACATAACTGTTATAAACCTTATAAGCATGTAAGACAACAGTACCGTTTTCTTGACACTTGTGCATTCAGGAGTTTCCCTTTCTTGTTCGTCAACGTGGACTTTTTCCATTTCCATAGTAGTTCTACTAGTCGTAGTAGCCTCCGTCTCCACCTTCTCTGCCCTCTTCCCGCCCCTCTTCCTTCCCTTGCCCTTCCTCCCGTGGCGAGGCCTCTTCTTGCCTGCGCTTCGGGCCTCCCTCACTAGGCGGCGCTTCTCCACGGGGCCGATGGCAGGGCCGCTGGTCAGCAGTTCCTTAGGGTACATCTCGGCAAGCAGGCCGATGTCTTCTTCGGTCAGTTCCGTGAAGTTGTTGTTGGAGCCCATCTTCTCAAGGAGCGACTTCTGTAGCAAAGAAAGAAAGAAGAAAGTCCGTCTAAGTTTTGAGAAGAAGAACGAAGAAGTTGAAGTTGCACGTAATTATAAAGAACGCCACCGTTAGCCTCTACCAGGCTTCGGGAGGCGGTTGGCAAAAGTAGAAAATGGCCAAATAGAGAGATAACATGCCGGGGGAGTTGGACCGTTCGGGAGCGGCAAACTGTACTCTCTAGTGGACCAACTCACCTGGCATGTTATTTTTTTACTCTCTTTTGGCTAATGCTATAAAATGCTATAAAATGCGAAATCTGACTAAAGGCATCGTATACATTATACCACTTTAACCCTTCCAATGTTAAAGGCAAGTTACTGAGTTTAGATCTAATTCTTATCATTTTTATCATATTGAATTTGACCCTCTGAGGGTAAGTGCACAAACGCTGTTTGTATTAACGTTCAGCCTAATAAGGTAGCCGTCAAGTTGTGGCTAAATTTGTATCGGTAATGGGGTTAGGCAGCAGGGAAAAGGTTAACAAAGTATGCAACCATAGAACGCTTAACGCAACATCTCTAAAACTTAAACTGAGGACCAACAACGGATCTCCCCTGCCTGCCAGTCGGTGAGTCACTGTTTAAACCCGCCCCGGGGCACTTAAAACTTCATCCTTGTTTACATTCCACTGAAGATGGCAAACTTTACCCCCTTGGAACTGTTCAATTGGACTCTGTACGGCCTTAGGTGGGAGGTGGCTAGTGGGAGGTGGCTGAATAAATAGTGGAAATCGGCCTAAAAAAGGGTATTAATTGGCGAGAGAAGGTAGCCGGCCATCGACGATCCAATCGGCCCTTATAATTAAGATACCCTTTTTAGGCCGATTTTTACGATTTATTCAGCCCGCAAAAAATAAGTCTGGTGGAGACTAGGAGGTGGCGGTATGCTTGCTACGTGACAAACTAGAACTGCCACACAAATTGTATGAAGAGGTCGCGAGTTCGAATCCAATTCCGGCTGCTATCGCTGACCGGACTAGCATGTTATTGTCGAGGGAATGGATTTTGAAAAAAGATTCTATTAAGGCTGATTTGAGCCGCGTTCTGTTGTTCAGCGTTTTCCTCTCATATCTCTTTATCCAAAAGACAAGGGAAAAGAAAGACAAAGGCATATTTTGAACCTCAGTTAAAATGGTACCCTACAGGCAACCACTGAGGGGTCCCTATAGCCTCTACCAGGCACCGCGGATCGCTGAAAAAATAGTAGAAATTGACGAAATAAAGGGATAGTATACCAGAGAAGATCCAGGGCCATAGAAGATCCATTTCGCGACCCCGTGGGATAAACTTAAAAGGTTTCGTTTGAGCTATGTTGCCACTGAGGAGCTGACCTGTATAGTATGTAGGCCCTAGAACTTGACAATCTGGCATCCAGGCTAGCTACTGTAGAGCCGAGGGGCTGACCTGTGTAGGCCCTAGAGAACTAATCTCCAAGCAGATCTTTCGTTGGGGGTAAGACAGTATCTGTAACCGTGATTTCCCCTACAGACTGGTCAATTTGATGATACTGTCTTATCCCCACCAAAAGATCTGCTTAGAGATTACTAGAGACCTAGGAACACTCTGGCATCGATATAATCAAAGCTAGTCAAAAAGGGAAGTAGTTGAGTGCGTGGGCGCGGCGGCTATAGCAACCTCTGCTGATCCGAGTCACAAGACATCCACATGCTAACCAAAGAAACTGTTGTTTACACCAAGTGAACGCACTGACTGTTAAAAAAATGTAACGCATTGTTCAAGATATTTTGGCCACCTGAATCGGCAGAAAAAAAAGGCCAATGCTATTCAGGATTGAGGAATAAAACACTACTAGGCCCTGGGCCCTTTAGGATTGTTGAAAGTAACTATACCAGGCTAGTGCAAGGCTATAGATAGCCTGGTATCCAGTCTATCGTGGATTGAGTGGGCTCTCTTCTCGGGGCCGTAGAAGCTTTCCGACACCGGGGTCAACAAGGCACTTACTGACTTAGTCGAAATCAATGATTAACTAAAATGTCTTACATTCAGATATTTCCATGAAGAAATGTTTGAAACGTCCACTGGAAAGTCCAGAGACCTCACCAGACTGTTTTTAAAACAACTATAAAGTTACACAGTGAATAAAATCAACCAAGGAGGTCTTTGCTGAAACCAGCGAATCTCGCCACTATTCGTAAACCTAATATGATATCAAAACTATACTGAAACGATAACATTACCTCAAATGACACGGTAGGGGATCCTGAAAAGTTGTAGCTCTCCATGGCAATAAAATACGTCTTGGAACGCTTGAGACAACGGCTAAGAACAACCTCTCAGTGTGCAGAAGATGTTTCAGACAATCTTCAACGATGTGAAGAATAAAGTAACTGATGGTTTGACTGTTGCAAGCTGGGTTTATATACTATAGCCTAGGGGGAGGTACATAAAGTACCGGGATTCCCTCCGCTACCATTACACCATGGTTTAGCTTTAGCTACGTCACTGGTACGTCACGAGACCGAAACCGGGCCAGCTGTGGTGGCGAGGTTAGAGGTGGACCTATCGGAAGTCATGGCTGACTGATTGGGGAATCGGTGTTACAACGGGATGGGGTGGTTTGTTGAGAAATAATTGAAACTTGGGACTTAAGTCGCAAACTCATGCTCGAAGGCTAATGTGCTTTCACAGTCAAAGATACTATTCGGTACAATACAATAATAGAAGACAGACAAGACAACCACTGTCTGAAAAAACTTCTACTACTACTACGCTAGCTATTGTGGGGATTGACTTCTTCTTTGAAGGCAGTGGATAATAATTAACACGTACTGGGTTAAGCAAAGATGGGCTTGTGAGAGAGGAAGCCTACGACTGGCAAACTTTACTTTACATGTACATTTACACAGTGCACACAACTTGTTATAGATTAACCTAGCTGACTGCATCATGCTTTTAGTACAACCAGCCCTTCCACTGGCCAGGCCCCTTGGCCTATTTTAGCCCCTGAGTGAGACGTTCAACGGTTGTGTTGCAACTTACAAACATTTTTGGTGATCCTAGCTAGATATTTCTCGTCGACTCAAGCTATAAAGAGGCTCAGGTTAGGTTGTTTAAAGCCTAGAAACACCTGTTCAGTAGTGTAAATTTGCTCCCCCAACCCCGGTCCTTTTCTGATCGGTCCCTAAGACGACTTGGATCACGAGACGCTAAATTATAAGACAGGAGTCGTGTGTTTTTGACTCTTACGCCTACAATATTCTTATAGCACAATCACACCATGTCACAAGACTGTTTAACTTCAAGACACGACTTTTCTGATGCAAGCAAGCAAATTGTGGGCGAAACCACTTCATATAATAGGGGTAGTTGGTCGAACAACAGTCTTTTATTAATCTTAAAAAGCAACGTCAAGTTTTTATTCACATCAAATGGTCACATATAAACATACTCTTCCCATTTTACCTACAGTTGTCCCCGAAAAAGGGTATTTTGGGGGTGCATTTTAGACAATTTTGTTAGTCTTCCATTCAAGCCCCCCCCTCCCGCGTCTTGGTCGAGTCCAGACGGGGGAGTTCTGAAAGGTGAGACGGGGAACCCGCGTTCTAAATATAGAACCATGACGTCAGGTATTCGAAACCACCACCGGCGACCGGCGATACACTGTACTGCATTCTGATGTAACGGGCGGGAAAAAACAAGTCTCGTGGTGGTTTTGGACAGGATTCTATGATTCTGACGAAATTAGAAGCAGACATTAGATTCAGACCTTCATTGGTTGTCACGGTTGGGGGAAGTACTTTGTAGTAAATGACTTTGTTACGTATTTAAGTGATGAACCGTTTGGGTTGGATTTGGCATCTTAACTATCCTATCTCAACTAGCTGTTGAAGTCCTTTTCTTTACAGCTAGAAAGGGGGATTTTAGGTGCTAAAACATGGACTTCTAGTTCTACCACCGTTTGGATTCGACTTGGCATCCTAAACTTGCTATTAAACTAGGATGGTACGGGTGGGGATTTTGTGTTCATGGTTTTCGTGTGGTCGTTTGAGGGAAAGTTCTTTTCTTTACAGCTAGAAAAAGGGGGATTTTAGGTGCTAGAAACACAGACGTCTACCAACGTTTAGAGTGGACTTGGCATCCTAAACTAGCTATTAAACTAGATGGTAGGGGGTTTCGTTTGGTCGTTTGGGGGAATTTCCTTACAGCTAGAAAAAGGGGGGTTTTAGGTACTAAAAACTTCAACTTCTACTATCTGTTTTCCTTCATATTTACCTTTTTTTTTTTTCAATTTAATACCAACCACATTCAAAACTGACATTGAGTCGTGGTTTCCCGTTTGGTGTTAGATGAAAATTTTGTGACTCTGGGCGAAGGGAACTTCCATGTACAGCTGGCTATAATCCAAGTTTTTCTTTCTACGCAATTCCGTTACACGACTACATAATACATATGCTATAAGGAGCATTGCAGTTATAAATATAGATAACCCAAGTCTATCTTTCTGCGCAATTCCGTTACACGACTACAGAAAGCATATGCTGTATTGAGCATTGCCACTATATATATAGATAAATTGAATAAAAGTACACACCTCGATATCGTTTTCTTTCTCCTCCGTGATTTCCTGTAAATGATAAGAAAAAAAAAGGAATAAAATGCGAAAGTCAACGCTTCATCATTCATTGTTGCCAAGATATTATCTTTGTCTTTTTTATGAAAAAAAAAGGCTCAATGAAATTTGTTGAAACAGGGGAAATCAGCCTCAAAACATATTATTTCTGCTTTTTGGCTAATCTTTAAGCAGATGTGCGATGGACGTTTTTTCTGTGAGAAAACTGGACCGCAAAGCGTCACGATCTTCCAACCCTACATCTGCTTGGAGATATAAAGAATAATAAGGCCACAGCAAGTAATTTTTATGGATGACATCAGCGCGCAAATTAATTTTCGCCTGATTTCGGGGGGGGGGAACCAAGAAATTTTGTTGCCTTCTGACAGTGGTCACCATGAAAATGGGCAAAGATGTCTGCTGCCATGCCTGAAGGTGGATGGCAGAGAGGAGACAAGAAAAGGCTCTAATTTAATGTTTTGTTTCTTACTTTGATGCAGTGATATGTGATGCTGGCTGTGTATATGTGATGTTCCAACTGAATCAAAACCACAATGATTGAGTCAAAATTTTGAAATGTAGGAACACTTTTTTTTTTGGCCCACCTTGTTTTTTTTCGCCCGCTCGCATTAGATTTGAAGTCTGCGTAGGATGTGATCCAGAAAATTTACTTGCTGTGGCCTAATGATGGCTCTTGAGTTTCGGTCTCTCCTAGCCCGGGCGGGGATTTTGGAAAAGAGCGGTGCGCTCAGATCGAACACGAAAATCGATACATTAGAAAGTGGCTACAAGTTGTTGCCATTACAGAATTCCCGATACTAATTGTTTGATACTTTGTAACAATCTTACAGCCAGTTTCCGGCGTAGGCAGAAAATGCGTCGTAACCGTTAAATTGGAATTTTGTCTTTTACGAAGCAAATTAAAATTCATCCAAAGCTGGGTTAAGTGGCGGAATATCATGTGCTCTTCTTATCATGATTGTTGCTTTTCTTCTGATTACGTTGTTAGCTAATTAAGTTGTTTTCAATCGCTTTGTCCAGTTTGTGGCCAAAATAAGTCAAAAACTTTTTATCATTTGGTTTGTTCCTACTTATAGTTTGAGAATACATAAAAAGACGCGCTAAAAGTCAGATGAATCCTGCTATTTGATTCCACAGTGTTAGTTTTTTGTGTTAGGTTGTTAAGTTTCGCATTAGTCACAGTGAACAATAGCAAAATGTTAGTACACTTCAGCGTGCTCTTCCATGCCTTATGCTAAAGTAGTTGTGCGCTTTTCATGCAAAGTTTTTAAAAATCCTTACCATCTCACTCCAGCCTCTGATAGAATTACTCCGGAAGCCATTCTAGAATCTTATTAAAGCCCACCCAAAAAGTAGCATGCGTACTTACATGTACCTGTATAGCCCTTGCTTGGGTCCCGGTTGTCTGTGTTAGTATGATGCCGATTAGACAAACGAGCGAAAAATTCACCAGCGCTGAGAGTCGAGGGTACAGTGCAGTAGCCATGGTCGGTGCGATGATTCCTTCTCTTCGTCTTATTGTCGTGGAGAACTTGCTTCTTGGTCCTCTTCTTGGTGAAGTCTTCTCTCCAACTGAACTTCATTCTGGCGATCCAGTCTTTTTATATTAACGTAGTCGCAACAGAAACATCGAAGATTTGCCTGTATTGAACGGCCCAGGTCCAGGTATTAGTCATACCCTATTTTGCTGGTTTAGATGTACCATACCGCATGTTTGGGCGCTACCAAACAATGGGCATGAAACCAGGAGAAGGGGGCGGGTCGAGAATTTAACATGAAACTCCGCTAGATGTCGCTCGTATTTGCAATTGTGTATCGATTATTATTGGATATCGAAGAGTCAGAAAAATTCCCCTTGGTTTCGCGCGTGTTTTGTGAATGTGTTTTGCACAGCTGGATATCTGGAGTCTGCATCCCTCGAGGGTTACTGTTGCTGCACTAGAGATCTCTTTAGATTCACACCGGTATTTTTAGTAGGCTACCCGACAGAAGTACTGGTTCAAAAGAATTGACCGTAGTTATATATGCAGGGGTCTCCCCAGAAATCCTTAAGGGAGAAGTGCTCCCTAATCGGTTGATGAAAAATCAGCAAATTTACATGAAAATGCTGAGGGAAAAGCATATATAGATTTGAACATTTTGGGAGAGGTGCTAGGATTTTGGGGAGAGGGGGAGCACCCTTACTTCATTGCTTGGGGAGAGCCCTGACGGCTAAGACTATGATATGTTAAGACTATTTGTTGTGCTTGACTTTCATACCGTACGATATAGCATAATATATGCATCTGCATGCATATTTCAGTTAGATCATTTGTGTATATCTTAGAATTGCTGAGTTAAAGGCTATCCACCGCCCAACCCCCCGCACTGGTGGTTGTATGTCGTAATTTCTTGTCAAATTTATCCGAAGCAAACGTAATAACGTCATACACGCAGTTTTCTATAGCCATTAGGCCAGTCTCCGTTTCCCGTACGAACTCCCGACGTCGCTCAGTCAACACCAAACCGTCGCAGGGTCCGTCCCTGTGGCCGAAGTTTCGAAGTGACGCAACCCGAAACCAAACTTCCGGCAAGTTTCGGTCGTTTCAAACATTCCCGCCTTTTTCCACCAATGGCGCGCCAGCGTTTTATTCACGTGACGACGCCCGGTTTCGATTACACTATTCAAGTCTTGCTTTGTTGCGGTCATTCCAGTTTTGCCCCTGCTAGAGGCCGAAGTAACAGCGATTTGTTCATCGCAACCTCTCAAGGCACTTGCTGAACATTACTTAAGATCATTTGGCGACAAGATACCAGAAACAAGGTTTGTGTGGGGTAATTAATTGGGGGTGTAAGACAATAGAACGACATATACTCATAACATATCGAATACGATAGTGCAACTAGCTATGTAACATGTACTTGAGGATTCGATTGTAAGAGTGATCGTAGGGTGTGCATAGGATAGTTCTGGTATTTTTCAGTCAAGGTTAGTTAAATATTTTCAGCTTTTTTATCGTTAATTTGTTTTGTCAATTTATGTATACTTTGTCTTTACCGTTCTGTATTTTCAGACTTCTTTGGTATTTCCGAGTACAGTCTTTTGTATGTTTGTATATTCACCATATGGTGTGTATTTTGGGTATCCTGTTTTTGTAACCTTTCAGCATGTGTGTTAATGATATGTTCAGGGAGTTTGGGGCGGGTTTTTTTATAAAGAAAGAATCAACATACGTTCCTATTTATTTATTTACTTATATTGGCGCTGTATTCCCTTGTTGTATTATGCACATTTGTTAGTTACTGTATAGAGTTGCCTACTTTGGGGTATAGTTTATTTTGTTTAGTCTCTACTACTGTGTAAGTGGTACCCAGAGTCTTTGTACGTCCGGAGCAGTATCTAATTCCAACAGAAACATATTTGAAACATCTCTACATCACTAGCCTCCGTAGCAGGCTTATAGAACTGGGGGTTTGGTGGTCTTCGGCTGTTTTCTGATTAGCCTCCGTAGCAGGCTTATAGAACTGGGGGTTTGGTAGTCTTCGGCTGTTATCTGATTAGCCCAGTTCTAAAAAAAACGGGGGCCGGCTATGTTGTCTATATGCAATCAGAAAATAGCACATAAAAGCTCCCAAAGACCCTGAAGATCCCCCAAACCCCCAGTTTTTGGCATGCTATGGAGGCTAGGGTTCGTAAACGACCGACACCCCCACCCCACCCCCTTGAGGAAAGTACGGTTTGGTCATTTTCGGTCCTACAAGGCTTGGTCCTTCCGCTGACGTATTGTCACAGAAAATGTTGAAGATGTCTGTCGACTCAAGGACAGTTTTCGACGCACCGTACGTAATTTCCAAGCATATCGCTGGCGCATAGGACGACCCTGTCGCAACTAAACAGACACGGTTTATTCGATTCAGATACAAAAACCCTCAGTTAAGTTCTCATATCATGAGAGAGTGGTAATCTTAAAGAAGTGGGTGGAGATTCTCATAGACGTGGGATGTGACGTTGGATTTCTTTGTTTCTTGCTTTTAAAATCTGTTTCTTTGTTTCTGCATTTCTTTCTTTATAGATTAGATTCGTCCATTTTTCCTTCATTATATCTTTCAAGTATTGTTGTATAACGTTACAGACCTAAGATGTAGGAAAGGCACTGGCTACAGATTTGTCTCTGTCCTAGATACTGACAAAATAGAGCCCCAGACAGTATATAAGAACATTAGCCTGTTAGTTAGTGCATCTTGGGAGAGCAAGCTAATAATAAGCCCAACAAGCTAGACTAGTTTAGAGAATAAACAGCTACGGCGCTGTAGAAAACTCGTTGTCAAATATACTAACGGTAGTGCCCCAACCAAGTCAAATGATTAAAATTTTTCCTAAAAGGGATAAAGAAACTGATAGGTGAGAGAAAGCACTGAACAGCCCTGTACTTGGTATCAGTACCCATGTCCGGTCAGCGAGATCATCCTCATTCCAGCGAAGTCTCTGTGGCGCAATCGGTTAGCGCGTTCGGCTGTTAACCGAAAGGTTGGTGGTTCGAGCCCACCCAGGGACGAAGCAGGACATTTTTTGTTCAGTCATATATTTTCATCCGACAACCTAGTTTAAAAGAAGGAAGATCTATTGAGCATTGGCACTGCATAGAAAAGGGTTGAAGTAGCTATAGGGTTTTGACGGTGTCATACTTGTAAGTCTAATTTCAGTACTATGTGCACCATCTAATATCAATTGACAATTTTTGAAAATCACTTTTAGAGGACTAAATATATTGTCTGTCGAATCATATAGAATTTTCCGTACCACAAATAATTAGATACATGTCTATACATGTCTATACATGTTACTACGCTAGAAGACTTTCTTCTTTGTTCAAAACTACTGGTCCATGGTATCACGATCATTGCAATGCACCAAACTTCCGCTGGAGGACGTTATTGTATGGTGCAGTTTGTCTCCTGCTATGCATGACAGCCCGCTAGAGGCCGTTGCTGCACTATGTCACATGACAAAGGGGGCCAGGTAATTAACGAGAACAGAAGGGGGGTATTAAGATTTTTCTTTTAATTATTCACAATCAATTCGTTGACAATGTTAACATTTTTCATATTATTTGGACTTTTACTTCATGAAAAAATCTTTATCTTTAAAAACAAGCTCGAATAAGAGAAATATTTCAATGCACTCACCCCTATTAGTAAAGTGGCATCTCCTTGTGGTTTCCAAGATGCCCCATGCTAGGCGAGACCATCTTGTAAGGTGAACTTATCCAAGTTTAAGACGTAATCTGATCTTGTCATGAGTCCATGGACCTTAGAAATTCTCAAGAAGTTATTGGAACACCTTCCTGATGTAGTTTTCCAAGATTTAGGACAAAAATGGAACGCACAGTGGTAGATTTTAGGGACTGGAACGCCGAATAGTTTTCCACCCAACTTCGGCCTCCGCCATCTTGTCTTCCGTACGTTGCATGCAACAAGAACAACTAAAAACGACGATGTTTCTACGATCTTTGAGCTTCTTTCCCGCCATTTTAGCCATCTTGTGGTCCACTACTATCGCAGGTAGGTACAGAAAGGGTTGTCATGATTTTTACGTGCAGAATTTGGTGTGTTTTGAGGGTTTTTAGCACTGAAAAGGGGGCCAGGGAAGGGGTTTTAACGTTAGCCTCAGTAGCAGGCTTATTAAATAGATCTGGGGGTTTGGTGGTCTTCGGCTGTTTTCTGATTAGCATAAAACGGGGGTAATTCAACCAGGCCGGCTATGTTGTCTATATGCAATCAGAACATAGCACATAAAAGCTCCTGAAGACCCCCCAAAACCGCCAGTTTTTGGTATGCTATGGGGGCTAAGGGAAGGGGTTACATGTAACGTTATCCCTAATCATGTACGTATGTAAACAACATGCAGGAACCACCACCTGCATCCGGTGATAGATAAGAAATAATAACTTGTCCTGTTTCCGCGTGTAGTCTCTACATGTAACTGTGACAGACAAACAGTACATAGGTCAGGTATAGCAAACATATTGGCCTCTACCTGGCTTCGGGGGGCGGCTGGAAAGAGGAGGGCCGGCAAGGGGGGGGGTAGTGATTACGAATTACGCAAAATTTTCGCCGCCTATTATGAATTACGTTAAAGTTTCAGAGCTCATTACGACTTTACGATTTGCGGCTAGTGATAATTACGAATTACGTTGATTTTTGCGGAGGCTGCCTACGAATTACGAAGTCTAAAACGGCCTGAATACGATTTCGAAAAAGGGCTTGCAGGCCCTCAAAGAGTAGAAATTGCCCAAATAGCATACCGAGGGAGTTGGTCTGCTGGGAGAGAACATTTTGATGCTCCCCTGTCATGCTGTCTCTCTATTTGGCTGATTTCTAGTCTTTCCAGCCGCATATTGAAGCCTGGTAGAGGCTAGCAAACATAGCCAACCATGGCTTCCAGACCTTCTCCTTATAAATTGTTTGGGTGTGGCAAATCATCATCAATCATCTTCATCTAATGTACCCCTCCAACTCCCCCCGGCATGTTATCATCTGTCTATTTGATCAATTTTGACTGTTTCCAGCTGCCTGTGAAGCCTGATAGAGGCTAATGTTTTAAATTGATTTGATGATTGTTTATTGCAAACTCATGGCCAAGGTCTAAATTGCAAATACAAAAGGACCATTTGATACAGAAACACCATGTAGTACAAAGTTTTACATGTTAAAACACCAGAAATAAAAAATGCCACAACTCCTAAATCTCATGGGTTTGACTTCTTTTTTGAAGACAGAAGAAGACAAAAGATCCCACTTTTTCTGTAATGTTTGAGTTTTGGAATGTTAATAGAATAGTAGTTCATGTCTAAGTTACTGTGTATACAACACGTGAAAGGGTAGAATTTGGAAGCGGTGTCAAAAAGTACATTTCACTAATTTATATTGTTTGGATAACTGTAAGAATGCTGTATGTGTCCCCAGATGACCCCTGCGATCGCTGGAAAGAGCACGTCAGCCCTTACTGCGAGGTTCTCGAACCGTACGTGTCATCACCACGACAACAGTCGCTGGAACTCCTGCCTGGAGACAACGTCACGCTCCACTGCCAGGTGGAACAGACCCTGGGAGTGCATGTGAGCTACTTTTATTTCTTTAATTCTGAAGCCATTTTACATGTATTATGTTATCATGAACGTTATATGTATGTGTTTCCTGTTTCCCGACCGACCCTAGAAAAAACTGCCAACCCTAGCCTTTTTTTTAGGTGGACCCCTGCAAGGGACATAAATTTCTGGAGCTGATCGACCTTTTCTAGCTCCATGATCTGACGCCTGAGTGATGAAACGTTGTAAAATCGATTTTCCAGCATTGACATTGAAAATATGTCCTCATGCAAGTTTTACTTTGTTAAACTGTATTTGTATAAGTTCAATCACTAGATTGCCAAAGCCAATAAAACAAAAGAAAAAGAAAAAAGGAGATAATCCTTACCTACCAGCTCTAATTTTTTTAAAGACCGAAACAGGAAACATAACATTTTTTTCCCTAGGCCTTAGGACATTTTCATCATAATTCCAATTGCTACGATTTATTTTCACTGGATATTGAGTGGAAATGTTGTTTCCCTCCAGGCTGCAGGTGCTATATGGATGGGCTGGATCAAAGACAACACCACAGCCTCTGTACATCTGGGGAAGTTTACCTACAGCGAAAAGAACGCCGCTAACTTTAGCACGAGCCACGCACTGACGAACGCACGGCCACACGACAGTGGGACTTACGTCTGCCAGGCCAAGTCCACCGGGAACCTGCAGAGGGGAAATGCTACCGGGGTTCATGTCACGGTGGCAGGTACGTTTCACCCCTGACTTTTGACTCTTGCACTTTGACCCTTGCACTCTGATTCCTGAAGTCTTGTTAAATGTAGTCTGACCAGCACATCGTCAGAACGTACTGCACCTGTGCAAAACCCTGATTTTTCACTGTTTTCGTCGGATGTTTGGTCAACGTGGCATCAGAATTTTTGCCTGTTGCAGAAGATACCTTTTCTGACATAATATTTGGAAACTGCGTATACAGATGAGACGATAACCTTATATGCAATACATACTTGAATACAACCTTTTATGAAACATTACGAGTTTTGCGCAGGTGCAGTACATTCTGCCGACGTGCTAGTCTGACTAAACAAGTTTGCTGATACTGGGATACCCTTTCAGAGCCCCAGCTGGAAACCCCCAACATCACAGCAGACGTGCCCTCCCCAGGTGACATTGACCTTGGGTTGACCGTGAAACTCCGGTGTGAGACCCAGGCCTACCCCCACGCCCTCTTCAACTGGACCAAGGACGGCAGGGACATATCCACCAATCACAGCGCTGCTACGGATCACATGATCATCGGAAACTTTAGCCAATCGGATGATGGGTTGTATGCCTGTGTTGCGTGGAACATGTTGGGAGAGAAACTTTCGCAGGAGCTGCAGTTGACAGCAAAACCTCCAGGTACGACACTTCATTTTAAGAAAACAAGTAACGCAATACCTAACAAGTTTTCTAGCGGCCTTAGCCTGTCTTTACATAGTGATACTAGTCTACTTTACAAGCAGAGGTTTGGGTTATTTTTGGTGTGTTTTTAGACTTTTTTTATAGGGGTTTCTTGTTTGAACTGGAATTTTCTTTCACCCAAAAAGTTCCAGTGCAAAAAAGAAGTCTAAAAACACGCCAAAAATAACCCAAAACCTCTGCTTGGAGAGTAACACTAGTTCTAGTTTTCATAATTTCTCGAAAGAAACATGCAGTATGATTAATTACATTAAGCCCAGACTGTCAAGTTGAAACATTTGAAGTAAGTACTTAGGACGATAGTTTATGTATTTAGGTCTATTTAATGTTGTTTATTTTTCCTCTCATTTCAGATGGAGGCCTACCGATGTTGATTATCATTGCAGTTGCATCTGGGGTGGCTGTCTTTGTGGTCGTTACTGTTACAGCCACAATCTTCGTCTACCGCAGAAGACGACAGTTCAAACATTGTAAGTTCTTCCACAGTCATTATTTTCATATTTTTCTCCTTTACAAGTCAGTATCAAAGTCTGAAGAAACAATAAAATTCCTCAAAAGATGTAGAACCCAAAATTTGATGAATTTAGGCTTTTAAACCTAAAAACCTGAACTCACCAAATTTTAAATTTTCTGTATTGCCTGTCACTTTGTGCAATCAATTTCACCACGTACACGACATTGTAGATCTTTAAGAAACCAAAATGCTTTTCTTTCTCCTTGCAGGTCGACTTGAAAGCGAAAGTGACGAAGAAGAAGGAGACTTTAGCGACAGCGTCGCAAAATACGACTCTGGCGTCCACTGCTGCGAAAAAGACAGATCTTGGACAGAAAAGATGGTAAACAAACTCGAAAAAGAGAAACTGAGAGTCTACTTCAGCCCCAGAGACGATATCGGTGGAGGTAGTGTGTTTCAGTATCTCAGCGAAGGGATAGCAAAAAGTAGAAACGTCATCATCGTCTTTTCCAATGCCGCTGATTCAGATGAGTGGTTCAAAAAAGGGTACCAGACAGCGGTAGTAGAACAACTAGACAGGAACTTAAGAGGAAGAGTCATTCCTGTGCTGATGAAGGGTTTTGAGAGGACAAATTTACCTTTGGAGCTCAAGGATTGCGTGGCTCTTTCCGTGGAAGATCCAAAGTTTTTCGAGAGACTGCTGAGAAGTTTGTCAAAGGACAGTGCCTACGAATCAGACAGGCAGTCATCTGTTTCCACTGAAGAAGTCTTGGATACAATAATTGTGCTTTGATGCAACCATATGCATGTGATAGGTCCGAAAAAACGCAACCTAGATGTTTTAAAAAATGTGTGGCTCTTTCCGTGGAGGATCCAAAGTTTTTCGAGAGACTGCTGAAGAGTTTGTCAAAGGACAGTGTCGACGAATCGGACGGGCAGTCAGCTGCAGTCACTGGTGTGTTATACATGTATTTGAGGAAGGTTGGTTTGTACAGAATTACACAGAACATGTGTTGCTTGATACATCAATGAAGGTTAGTCATCCAGGTAAGATATGCCAAATCCAAAATCATATCCAGTTGCTTGAGTAACTTTTTCTTTGCATATGTTGTTTAGTGATCTGAAAGCAATGTTCCCTAGCCTAGGAATAGGAAATGCTGCTACATGTATATGTCATTATAAATGCCATCACTATGCAGCAGTAGCTAGTATGGGTGTTGTCCATCATCAAATATCTAAGGTGAAAAGTGCTGTTGAATTAATGATGTTGAACATAGAAAAATGTACAAAATGTATGTATATATATGTTTGTTTCGTGCATGTGCCATTGAATGGCTTGTTGTGTGCAATTTCATTTTCTTTGTGTGCAATTAATTTGTCCCAAGGACAAAACATTATATGCAAGATGTAAATATATTTTCTTAATGTTGGAAAATGTATAAAATTGCTTTATAAATAGCTCTATGCAGTAACTGAGTCAAAAAACCATGTCTCAGAGCCATTTTTTGAGTGGATACTGAAATTATAATATTAATACTATCTTGATCAACTCCAGAATCTTATGTTATGTAGGTGTAAGTCAATTCTTGGTGCAACCCTGAGAAAAACTTAAGTCAGCTCTTGAAGAAGCTGGTGTGTAAATACCATCTGTAGATTAAGGTTAAGTTCTCAGGAAGCTATTATCCTGATGATACAAGACAGGGCCCTCACACGCTATTATCCTGATGATACAAGCTTCTCAGGAAGCTTGTATCATCTTCTCAACATGTACAGTAAGAAAATCTTGCTACATATTAGCTAAGAAAGCTCAGCTGTATACACATGCAGTTCATCTCTTTCTTTCAAAGTAACAGTGCTACAAAAATAGACTTTTTCTTTACGTAACTTGGAGAGGTATACAGAAAATAAAGACTTTGAAGATATCAAACTATGTTTCTTTTTACTATGTAACTATATAACTTGAATCACTTCTAATCTAAGTAAACTTCTAATCTAAACTAAGAAAGAAAACAAAAATACTTCACAGTGACTGGGGTTACATTTTCACATGCCACTATACTTGTGCTACTTGGGCAAATAATCATGAAAGCTCCCCTTGCAAAGAGTTTGCCCTACAGCCAATGTTGTCTGGTAGAAACTAGTCCAACCCTCACATAATACCTGTGTGTCATTTTCCTTGCTGCCTAACCCTCTCACGAACAAATTTGGTGCATAAAGGCTACCTCTGCAGGGATAGCGTTAAATCCCTGTGAAGTACCTCTGCCACACAGTATGTTTTGCCTATATACTAGTACATGTATTTATGTAGACATATAGTTCTTTGTCAATAACACCTGTGAGTTTAACCTTCTTGCTGCCTAAACCTCTCACAAGCACAAGTTTGATGCCAAAAGGCTACCTCTGCAGGGACAAGGTTAAAGCTAGATTTTCTCTTCTTGTCCTTGTGCACAAGATTTAGAGTCTGAAAAGAATAGTCTTTGGAGAGTACACTAATACAGAATGCCCAGGTCAACCTCTGACATAGCGACCGTGTTACTCTTAAATCCCTGTGAAGTACCTCCTCCACACAGCCTCTATCTCCAGACTATAGTCCTGCTTACTCCCGGGGCCGCTCTG